TATAATTAAAATGTAAGAAGAACAATGGCAAACATTCCTCACAACATATTGAAAACAGCATTTTCAGTAGCTACCTTATGTGATTTCAGGGAATTGGAGAGGGGGAAAGAAAAGAAAATGCAGCTTAATTTCCTGGAAAAACTGAAGCCATATCTAATGCTTGCCAAGTGTAGTCCATAACTCTTTGTCTGCATTCATCTATTTTATCACCTCTATAGATAAAGTGAGCTTCCTCTCTGCTCTTAAGCTATTGCATTTTTAAGATAGGAACTCTTTTAAATCTCTGGCAATCATCTAGCAGACAGTTCCACTCATAAGGAAATAATATTAGAGCAATTGTATGACACTTTCTGTTTTTAAAGCACTTTAAAATACAAACCAATTAGCATAAATGCTAACATGCCAGAATCTATGAATTAAAGTTGCAATTATACTTTGCTTTTCAATACAAACACAGCTATCTTTTTTTCATTCACTAGAAGTAGGTTGAAACAAGACATAAACAAGCTGTCTGTCCAATGGGGTCAAAAGTACTATAGCTTGAAAAATGAAATGGGGACTTTATTGATTAAACATTCCTCTAGCAAAATCCATGAAGGTTTATAGGTTGGTGTCCCCGATAACATTGTTTTAGAACCCACAAAGGAAGCAGGACATTGGTGCTTACATAAAAAGATGTGCATACTCATCATAAGATTCCAATCCTCAAAATATACTCTTTATTAATTTCTAGATTTAAATACCTCAAATTAGAAAATTCATCCACTTGTTATTTAAATCAAATGGCAAAATATCAAGTGACATAGTATTGCAAAATATCTCCTCTTTCTACTGTACTATGGACATATAACACAGCAAGCAGCCTGGGAAAGGCTGGAGCTGGAGTGTCAGCTCTGGAACTTGTTAGCCCTGTAACAGTAACTCTCAGGATTTTTTTCCTCATTCCTAAATGGAGGCTGGGTATTAGTCAGGGTTCTCTAAATGAATAAAACTGATTGTGTGTGTGTGTGTGTGTGTGTGTGTGTGTGTGTGTGTGTGTGTGTGTGTGTGTATTCTAATAAACCTTCAGGCTATGGTCTGGGTAGTCCGACCATGGCTGTCTCTTAATGGAAGGTCCAAAACTTGGTGATTGTTCAGTCTGTGAGACTGCCTGTCTCAGCAGTCCCAATCTGGTGCTGCAGTTCCAGAGGATTCCTAGGGAGTGGGTGGTCTTCAGTCTATGTTGGAATCCTGAAGAACTAGATTCTAGTACTAGTGGAGGAATGCTTCAGCAGCAGGATAGCCAGCCAGAGTGAGCGCAAAAAGCAAAAGCTTTCTTTTTCCATGTCCTTTTGTGTGGACTGCCACCAGAAAGTGTGGCCCAGATTTAGGGGAGGTCTTCCTATCTCAGATAATCCAATTAAGTAAACCCCTCACAGGCATGGCCAACTGCTCAGGTTTTAGTTGATTCCAGATGTGGTCAAATTGATAATGTTCTCCCTCAACTTTATACATTGATGTCATATATTTCATGAATCTCATACTTCATTAGTTGTCATCACCATCATCATTGCCGCCGCCGCCGCCGCCACCACCACCACCACCATCATCATCACTTCTATTACTAGACCAGACTGACCTTTATCCTCCCACCTCCATCTCTGTAACACTGGAATATATTACCACGCCTGGCCTACTTTTTTAACAGTTAATAATCTTAGATTTAAATACTAAGGAAAAGTTTGCTTATGGAGCTATAGAGATGACTCAGGCAGTAAAGGGCCTGCTGCTCAATTTGAGGACCTGAGTTCAGATCCCCAGGTGAAAAGTGGAGTTTTGTGGAATGTGCCTAGCTTGGGGAAGCAGAGACATTAACTTGCTGGCCAGCTAGTCTTGCTGGATGGGTGAGCTACAGGTTCAGTGAGAGATTCTGTATCAAAACACAGGTAGAAACTGATAGAGAAAGATATTTGACATTTACTTCTGGCCACTGTAAAGTGCGTACACTTATGCTGACATGTGTACATACAAAGATATAAGCATTTATATAGCTCCCCAGCACATACACAGAGTCTTACATATGTATCCTGTGTTCCTCGTTTTTTTATGTAGTCCCAGTTTTATCTCATATAACTTCCTTCTTCTTGAAGGATGTTGCTTAATAATTTTTGATCTTCCATATTTTGTATATGTTCCGAAAATTTTTGTTGGGGACCGTGGTGCATGCCTATAATGCATGCACTCTGGTGACAAAGGCAAGAGAATTCTGAGTTCATGGCAAGTCTGAGCTACAAAGCAAGCTTTACCTCAAAACAAAACAAAACAAAACAAAAGACTAGTTCTCATTTTTGGAAAGGTGGTTTACTAGAAATAGATCTTTAGGTTGACTAGTCTTTGTCTACTAGTTTTGAGTAATTTTATTACAACTGACCTTAGTACAGTATCATTTGCTTGTGGAGTTTCCCTGAATCTATTAATTATATTCCTCAAAATAGGAAATACCTTCAGTCATTATCTTCTTAAATGTTTTACTGATCGCTTTTCCAGAGATTCTAATTACTTATATAGCAAGATGTTCAAAGTTGCTCATTGGACAGCTCAGTGATTCCTTGCCCATTTTTATTTTTTTATTTCTGTCACTCTGTGTATTTCATTTGGATGGTTTATTTTGTTATATGGTCAAGTTCACTGATTCTTTCTTTAGAAATATCTGCTCTTCCATTAGTCCCATAAAATGTGTTCTTCATCTCTGGAAATATACTTTCCATTTCCAAAGATCAATGTCATCCTTTTTATATTTGCTATGTCTCTACCTTTTAAACACAGAGTATACTTATAATCAGTGTTTTAATGTTCTGGCTTAGGGATTCTCACATGTCAGTTCTAGCATAGGGACGCTCACATGGAAATGTCCTACGAATAGCAACTCCCTTAACATCTGTGTCAGAACCAAATGGATTTCAATGGATCACCATTTCCTTTCTATGACTTTTATTTTCTTACTTTGAATGTCTAGCTATTGGATGCCAGACATTGTAACTTTACCTTGATATGACTAAATACTTTTTATTCCTTTACTTCTGCATAGTGTTTGAAGGTGATAATGCAGTTAAGCTACCTGGAAACAGTTTATCCTTTCAGGTTTTGTGTTTGTTTGCTGGGCAGCGTCAAAGCAAATGCCTATTGACCCACAGCTATTGGGCTTTACTACCTAGGCCATATCCTTCATATTGTCTTCCCCATGAATGATGAGGATTTCTGGTCTGTGCTGCAGTCTTGCTGTCTTGCATGGGTGTGGTCCTTGAAACTTGGCTGGTGTGATGAGGGAATGAAGACAAGACAGGAACTAAAGAAATAACAGACATATACACAAAAAAGCTGGGGTCAGGTAGGCTGAGCACACTCTGATGGCCTGACACAAACTTCACCCACAACACAGAGACCACAGTGCAGAATCTCAGCACCATTATTATGTACAGCACAGGGGCATGAGTAAGCTAGTCTCTATGAGGTCTCTGCAGGGAAGCAGTCTCAGGCTGTAAACACCCAGGAGGAAGAAGCTACACTTGCTAGTTTTTGCCCACTGTGGTCAATTGTTCATAGACACTCATACCTGGACCACAGGAAAGCTTTGCCATTCTGAACCTGACCCCTACTGGGATGGCTGCTCCATGGTTCTGAGGCACTGGGTACTTGATATGGCTGTACACATAACAATACACATTCACTTGGGATTTCAATCACTCTGTACACATTCAGTCAAGGCTTCCTCAGCTTCTCACACGGTGCAATGAAAATAGGCACCATTCCTGATCCTGCCTGAGTAGTAGGTACTGCAATATTCGCTGATATTTTTTTTCTTGGTTCTTTTTAACTTGAGTTAGAGACTAATGTCTTCATTTTGCATTTCCCAAGTTAAATTCAGTAGACATCTCTAAATGCCTATTCTGTGCCAGGTGAGCTGTTAGCATTGGTTACTGGATAAGTCCTTTGATAACAGGTAAACAAACAAAACAAAACTACAAAAAATATAGCTCCAGGTTGTCTTGAGGTTAAACCTCACACTGTTCGGTTCCTGAGCACCGGGCACTCGTTTTACACACTTCTTTCCCCATCTCTTGCCACCATACTCTCAGACTGAGGTGTGAAATAGCCTACTTTATCGACTCGCTCAGCATTTATTAAGTTCCTACTATGTGTGAGACACCATGCTGAATGCTGACAGTGTAAGGACTACCAGACAGGCTTTGTCCTTAAGGAAGTCACAGTCCAATAGCGGAGAAAACCGTGAACCAAGGATTCTAACTATATGCAAGATTCTAAGGCAGAGAAATACATAGAGGTGGTATCGAATTTCTTGGGAAACCTTAAGTTCTTTGCTTCCCAGCAATGATTTGTATACGGTGAGCACTCTGAGGACAGAGTTCACGAGGCTAGTCTTCCTAGCTCTATGCTTGGACAATCACGTCAACTTTCTGAGCCTGTTTCTTTATCGGTGACATAAAACCCATAAAACCTGCACCTATCCCACTGGGTGATTTTAAGAATTCACTGTGGGGGGCGAGTGAATACGAGTGTGTGTGTGTAAATAGAACCAGAGGCAATCGCTGCCACACGCACAAAGCAGGGTCTCTCGTCCGAATGGAAAGATACCTGCTGTGAGTAATCTCAAATAACACGTGAGAGAAGTGAGATACCCCAGTGTCCAGGGACCTGGACGGGAACTGAGGGTGGAAGGGTGTCGGCCGGGGGGCGGGGGGGGGGGGAGTTTTTCACAGTAAATCCCCCCGGGTCTCTCCGGCCAGCGGCTTTCCCCGGAAACCCCGCCTCTCTAGCCGCGCGCGCAACACTGCAGGCCCCGCCCCCGGCGCCGGCTCGCTGCATCTCGCGGGATCTCGCGAATACGCCCGGGTCAGATGCAGTCATGGAGGTGGAGGAGGCGGATGTGGATGTGGAAGGAGATGTGGTGGCGGCTGCACAGCCGGGGTGAGGCGCGGAGCGGGGTCCTGCGGGCCGGGCGGTGCTAGGCGAGGGCCGGTGGATACGGTCTCCGGGTCCGCGTGGACGGCGTCGGGACTCGGGCTGCCCCTGGCCGGAAGTCGGCAGGGTCTGCGGGTCGGGGCGTGGCCTGAGCGCCGGGACCAGACTGTTTTTCTCTGCTTCCCGGAATGCGGTGGACGTGTTCCCATTCGGATTCCTTCCTGCATGCGCTCTGTCTCGGGCCCCTCACTGCAACTGGAACACGGGCGTCTAGTCCCCAGGACCTGACTTCATAGACACTTGGTTCTGCGTCCGCAAGCGACCTTGGTCAAGGCGTTTGATTTCCTTCTTCGCAGAGAAAAGTTGTGAAAACTTGCGGAACGGCAGCTTAATTCGGGGGGGGGGGGTGTCCAGATTTTATAGCGGGACAATTCAGGTTTTCCTTCTGCATTTCTCTTCCTGTTCACTGTCATTGTGACCGTGGTCAAGGCATTTGAGCCTCTGCTCGCTTGCTTGGAAACCAAGAATCTGTTGTGAGCCTCGATGAAGTAATTGTGAAAGATGCTTTAGCCTGTGTAAGATGCTCGACATTGTTCTTTACTGTTTTAGGGATAATACAGTGAAGATCCAGTGAGCGATGTTGTTAAATACCAGTGCCTGTAGGACGGGCAGTGTGATTTTAAACTGAACCTGCTTTGACACCTTGCTTTAGCAGTAAGAATTATCCCTCCTTTTAAGTAATGGGAGCCAAAGTGGCAACTCAGGTAGAAGCCAGACGACCTGAGCTGTAAATGCAGCCAGTTACATTACTTGTAACTTGTCAGCAACTTCATTAGAACACTGTTGAACTGTGTGCTATTACTAATATTGGCTTATTTGGGGCCTGTATAGTGGCAGTCTCATAAAATTCGTCTGACAGGAGAGCTGCTCGACTGTATATAGAGTACCAGTCCTCCTCCCCATGAGGTACCATAATAAGGAACGTTTATGAATTCTTACAACGGTGGTAATAACGTGAGGGGTAGTTAAGTTCATTTGATTTTTTTTTCTCTGAAGTTCTTCAGCAGAACAGTTCAAAAGCTATTGCGGGTAGCCCGAGATAACAACAGTTCTTTACATTGGTGTACTTATTCAGTCTTAAACAAGTGCTTGTGAGTTTGAGGTTTTTAAGTAAGTCAGTAAGGCTTGTTAAGTCAGTGAGCCAAGTGGGCAAGGACAGTTGTTTGGAATTCATGAAGGAACGATTCAGGCAGCATTACCTGAGAGCATTGGCTCTATGCCATTTTCATAGGTTTATCTTAACTTTTCTGGCTGTGTTTAGTTTTTCTCCCTTTTTCTTGTTGTACCATTTTCTTGACAAGAGTCTACTGGTGGCATTTGTAATGTTAACCTTATGTGTTAGGTCTCAAACCCAGGACAAATGGCTGAGGTGCCCATTGACATTAGCTGGGCAGTGGTGGTACATGCCTTTAATCCCAGCACCCAGGAGGCAGAGGCAGGTGGATCTCTGTGAGTTCGAGGCCAGCCTGGTCTACAGAGTGTGTTCCAGGACAGCCAGGACTGTTACACAATGAAACTCTGTCTCGAAAAAAGGAAAAAACAAACAAACAAAAAACCCAAAAACCCAGAACTCTGCCAGGTTCTCCTAGCATCCCTCAGTCCTTACCTGTTACAAGTTATGGCTGGCATACCCTGGGCCCTACCCTAAACTTCTCCAGCCCTAGGACTGGACTTCTCTTCCCCCAGCTCTTCCCTTTATAATCCAGCCATTTTGGTTACTTGGTCCTTTTGGTCTACCCTTTACTCTCTTGGTTGGCGGCTCCTCTCCCTTCTCTTTGTCTCCACACATGGTTCCACTTGGGGTCAAGTTCACTCTGACTCTGCCAAATGTTTCAACCTCTGCCCATGCTCTCCCTTTTATCTACAATAAACTTTCTCCTCCACCATACCTAGGAGCAGTCATGTCCTTCCTTTTTTTTTCCCCTCATTCACCATGCATGCAGGGTTATGAAGGTTCCTGATGTCAGCCACTGCTTAAGGAGCATTATTGACGGAATGGTGCCCTATAATGCTGGAGTTAGAATGATCTTGAATTGAGTGTGACTGGTGCCCCTTAAGGTGTGGTATTACAGGGGACAATAGCATTTAAGGAGCTCTTGAGGATTAATTTGAAACATAATGCTTTTAAACGCATACTGAAAGCTAGGTACAAAAATGAAACATTGCATTTTGGTTTTCCTTCAACTATTATTTCTTTTCATCTTCCTCTTCTGTATGCTTTTAGAGACCTTGTTGTTGAAAGGTGTTTTTCCATAAGTCTTGTGCTCTCTGCCATACCTAGTGGTATCTCTGAGCCTGGCATCTCTCCTGACTTAATTTCTTTTAAGTTGATTTGCTCTCTGCCATTCTGATATAGAAAGAAAGATACAGTTCCTTAAATTCCACCTAATACTTGCTTTCCCTAATCCTTTACTGAGCCACCTCTCCCTCTGAGCTTCAGATCAGGACTCTAATTGGAAGCCACTAGCATGTGTGTGTCTTACAAATACCTCAGCATCACTTTATTGACTCCCCTCTTTAAGGTCTGTCTCTCAGCGGTCCCTGTTCAATACATGGCAGCAGCATCTAGTCACTGTCAAGGCACAGAGCTGAACTTCCTCCCTTTTCTGTCACCCCGTGTTCGACTCCCCATCTGGTCAGGTCAGTTATTAAAGACCCATTGGTAGTTAAGTATCCTCTCAAACAACACTTTTCTTGCTCATACTGCTTTTTCGTTGCTGTGTTTCTGTGGTATTTTTATAATTATTTCCTCTTCCACTATTTTTCTTGGTCCCCTTTCTCCCCTAAAGTTAAGTCTTTGGTACATCCAAATTTGATTATGTTATTACCTTCAGTTTCCAATTGGTTTTAAGGTAAAGGTTTTTTGTTTGTTTATTTTTTTTTATTGTGTCATCTTGTTTTGTTTGAGACAGATTCTCATATAGCTCAGGCTGGCCTTGCTTTGTATTGGACTGACTCCTGTTCCTCCTGCCTCTACCTCCTAAGTTCTGGGATTACAGTTAAGTACTACCATAGTTTTGTGGTAAAGTATTCATTCCTTAACTATTACAGACCTCTAGTCCATTACCTACCTGCCTTGTTTACTCATTCATTCAACTGTTGATTACATTCTGTATGTCACCCCCTGGGTATACATAGCAATGTGAAAACGAAGTCCCTGCTGTCATAAAAGTAGAACAGACCATAAACCTTATGTGTGTGTTTGATGGAGATAAATGGACAAGGGTGAAGGAAGATGATCCTGATGGCTTGCCAGCTTTTTCTTGTGCAATGACCTAGTAAGGCTCTTAAGGTGTGAAACTGTGGGCCTGTGGAACAGAGAGTGGAAACAGTGAAAGAAAGGGGGCAGACTGGATTGGGTTGTAAAGAAAAAGGAGCAAACTTAGATTTCTGGCTTGGACCGCTAGGGAGATTGAGGTTTCGGGGGCAAGAGAGGAAACTGGAAGCCTGGCAGACTTGGGAGGAAAGGTTGTTTTAAGCTTACTCATGTAAAGGAGATTCAGATAGGTGTTCAGATGCATATATCACAGTGTTGTGTTGTTAATCCTCACTGTGGTATATTGTGAAAAGATTTCTGCAGTCAACTGGAAATGATAGGCCCACCTCTTGCACTCTTGGCAGACCTAGTTGTTTGTACAAAGGTTTTCTTCTGCGGACACAGTCATAGAAGCCTTTATTAGTCTCCTTGGACTCACGGTTGACATGAGTTTAAAGCTGTTCACTATCAACAGTTGAGAGAATGCTTTCAGTTCATAGAGTAAGTGTCTTAGCACTAGGTTAGGTCAGGAAAAGTCAGTAACTTCACTAGGAAACATAAATTTAATGTTTGCCTTTGGTGTGTTTGAATTTGATTGTATCGTACCTTGAGACCCTCCAAAACCTGACTGTTCAGTCTTGCAAGTGAAACATATATTGTACTTATTATTTCAATGGAAAAAAATGACAGAATTAGTAAACTTTGATCTCTCATGGATCCAGAAACTTCCAAATCAAATTACTTTTAAAATTAAGTTGTTACTAAATTCCTTCAGTACTTTTTATTTTGCTTCGTACATCTAGTTTTATTTTGTTTTTTCTTCATTTTGAGGGTGGTGAGGTTTGTGGCTTTGATATTTCTCAAAGATTTAGCTATAGTTTGTGTGTGCATACGTACACTCGATCAACCAAAACTCAAATGGTAGCTGTTGGCCTCAGCACGTTGGCTGTTGTGCTGCATCCTAGTTTTCCCCTCACAGGCTTACAAGGCAAAGCAGGTACGTTGTAGTGTTCAGTCTTTGTTAAGGAGAGAAGGCATTTGCTTAGCATCAACAACTGGCTGGCCCCTGTGCTGTGTGAGTTATAGCCGTAAATGAACATAATATCACTCTTCTATTAATTTTTGTATTACTACAGAAATGAGGAAAATACAGCATCAGTTTTTCACGATCACTATCTTGATTCGACATGGAGAAGGGAGAATGGCTGTCTTGTAAGTACGCTAAGTCAGCTGACTTCACACTGCTGCTCGTTGCCCAGAGTGCCTCTTTTCCTTTTTTAGCTAAGTCTGATTCTCCACAATCGCAGAGGTAGTATATGGAAACACTTCGTTTAACAGTAGAGGAACTTTTTTTCAACTATTAAAACAAATGATCTCTTGAGAAATTTAGAAATTTAGATCGAGTTTGATTTAGGTGTAGATCTTTACCATTCCTCACATTTGTCAACTTTGATTTCCTCAAGTGAAAGATGGGCATAATCACAGAGCTCACGGCTTCATTTAGCAGTAACTGCATACTCACCATACCAGACAGTAGGATGGGTTAACACTCAAATTGTCGTCAAGATAGCTGTGACTTTGCTCTCATGGAGTCTATAGACAAAATGGGAGTCTGGCAATAAATAGGCAGACAAACCATGTAGACTGTGAAAGAAATAAGCACTGTTGACTGAGGTTAGTAGGGTGGGAAAATACTTGAGGAAAAGTCAATAAAGGACCAAGGAGGTGACATTTAAGTTGAAATGTAACAAATGGATAAATGAATTACAAAAAACTAACATGCCAGGCAGAAGGAATAGTGAGTGCAAAAGCACTTACTTATGCTTATGGGTTTAAATTTTGTTTAGCCAAGACATCATTAAAACATTTCTATAACTTTCAGTACAGACTAGTGGATTCATTTTTGTCAAATATGCTTTGGATGCTGTGGTAAAGGAAAGACTAGGGGGAAGCAAGAGTAGAAGCAGAGGGACTGATTAGGAACTGCTTGCAATAATCCAGGCAAGCTTTTAGATAGTGGCTTGGTCTTGTATGTTCCAGAGGAGGTGTAATTAGACAAGTTTAAATTAGAGTTTAAAGGTAGAGCTGTTTAGTAGATTGCGTGTGGGAATGGAAGAGAAAGGGAAGAATCCATAATGACTCCTAGCTCTTTAAGTGGTTGACAGTGCTCTTTGCAAAGTTGGAAAGGCAGGTGAAGACAGGTGATACTGAATTCTGTTTGGAATATGTTTCATTTGAGAAGCCAGTTAGACATTCAAAGGGAGATCTTGTGTGGGTAGTGACCATAATGGTCTGGAGCTTAAAGAAGGGATAGGAGTTAAAAATTTTGTAACTTTGAGAATTGAAATGAGTATGATCACTTACTCAGGGTGTGGCTTAGGAAAAACAGAATTGAGTTTGGGAAACAGATTAAGTGTTCAGCAAAATGCCTGAAGCCTAGGAGTTCTTTTGTGCATGGCAGCCATTATTACTGCTTACAAGTAAGGGTATGAGCCTTGGAATCCAACAGGCTTTAATGTGAGGTTTCTTCTCTTCCACTTAAAATGCCACCAGTGCTGCAGATGCCTCTGTGGACTATGTATGCCTGTCTCAGAGTGATTGTGGAAGTCAAAATGTGGCTGTGTGCTCATTCAGTGAGTTGTAGCTGTTATCATTTATATTATTTCACTCAACGAAATAAGATAACTTTTTAAGTAATGAAATATATAGTTATACATTCCATTGTTTCTTTTAAATAGCCTTGGACTCTGGATAGCACCATCAGTGATGAGAACAGAGCCGTCATTGAGAAAATGCTGTTGGAAGAAGAGTATCCTTCATCGTTATGAGAAGAGTAAAGGTTTCAGGGTTAAAAATGCATGAGTGCAAACATTACAGAAGAAGCCTCTGTAATTACTAGATGACTGTTTGGCCACAGACTTCAGTTGTGTAATTTCATGTCACTTATCGATGCAAAAGGGAGCATCTTTTACTGCTGCATCTGAGACTGACACAGTGTTTTTGTTGTCAGCCACGTCTGCATGTAGAGTGTACATATTGCATAGAAATGGTAAAATATTTAAGCCAGAACCTTAATTCTAAGCTTCCATTTTCAAAGTAATAAAAGCTAAAACTCAGAGATACTTATCTGTGTGAGGCACACAATTAGAACATGTGCAAATTTTCACATTGTACTCTGCAGTTTACAGATGTTATATGAGAGGAATTTTAAATGAAAAACACAAAGTATAATTGATCCCCCACCCCAGAGGTTGTAGGTCTTTATCTATGGCTCAGGAGCTGACTGCTTATCCTGATTGACTTCAGTTTAACTTCTTTAGACTCAGTTTTCTTATGGCAAATGAGAGGACATCAGTAATTTCAGTAAATCAGTAATTTCTGATTTTCTGGCTTTTAAATATTACTAATGAATAGTGGCTTATTTTTAACTTTTCCATATGCATTTTATGGATATCTGTCCACTATTATTGTTGTTGTCATTATTTATGTGTGTCTTTTTGTTTACATGTATGTCTGTGAACCTCTTGTGTTCCTTGTGCCTGTGGAGACCATAAGGTGACCAGATCTCCTAGAACTGGAGTTAGAGTTGAGAGCTGCCACAGGGTGCTGGAATTGAACTCCGGTCTTCTGGAATAGCAGTTGGTGTTCTTTAATTGCTGAACCATCTCTCCAGCCCTCTCTGTCCACTGCTTAATCCAGAGTTTCTGTTGTTTTATTCCCAACTGCTTCTGTTAATTTAAGAATGTTTTCTTTATCTTTAATTGCCGTTGGTTAGCCCCTTACTCTGTAACTCTCCCCAGATATTGCCTAGATTACTTTTTTTAAATGAGCAGCACATATAATCTCCAATTTCCTAGTAGCCTCATTTAAAATAAAATAAATGAATTTTTATATCATAGAATTTTTAAAAACATATCTTTTTAAAAATATTAGCTTATATGAAAACATTGTTTTTTTTGTGTGTGATGTGTGTGTGTGCATGCACACGCACGCGCACAGACACATGTTTGTATGTGCATGTATGTGCACAGCCCAGAGGTTGACTTCAGGTGTTTTCTTTATTCACTCTCCAAATTATTTTTTGAGGCGAGGATTCCTATGAACCTGAAGCTCACTGATGTGACTAGCTAGCTTGTCAGAGGCTCTAGGGATCCACCCGTGTCTGCCTCCTAGTACTGGGATTGTATGTGCACAAAACGACTGCACCTAGCTTTTTCCGTGGATCCTAGGGATCCTTGTTAGATACTTATGATCATATAGCAGACACTGATTGAGCCATGTCCCCATTCCCAAATGAAAACATCATTAATATTTCATACTAAGTTTTTGGAATCCATGATACATTTTATTTTAGCATTATATCTCAGTTAATGCTAGTTGTATTCCAGATGATTGATCCACACATTTGACTAGTAGCCACAATATTGAACAGTGCAATTCTAGATTATCGAACACTCAAGTAGTCACTTGTTTACTTCCTGATGTAGAAACAAGAGTTAAACATAAGCATTTAGACTCTTAATATATTTTAGAGGATAAGGAGAATCTCTAGTACATAGCCTAACATGACATGTAATTGATATTTGCTAAATAAAGAATAGTGCAGACTTAGAGAACAGTTTTTGTTGTTGTTGTTGTTAAGGTTTACTTGTTTATTTAAAGTTTTTTTCATTTTAGATATTGCCCACTGTTCCCCCTTCCTCCCCTTCTCCCACTCCCTCCCACCTTCCCCTATCCCACCCCTACCCACTCCTCATAGCGGGTAAGGCCTCCCTTGGGTAATCAACATAGGCTGACATACAAAGTTGGGGCAGGCCCAAGCCCCTCACCCCTGCATCAAGACTGAGTAAGGCATGGCACCATAGGGAATGGGCTCTAAAAAAGCCAGTTTGTGTACTCAGGATGAGTCCTAGTCCAATTGCCAGGAGACTCTAGCAGCTAGTTCCAGCAATGCTGAGGGGGCCGTTTCTTGGCAAAATTGATGTTTGTATTAGCGTGTAGATGAATCCTGAACTCTTTACTGTGACTTTTAAAAATATGGAAACAATGATTCCCAAATTAGCCAGCACAACAAATTCATCTATTTTACTATTCATATTTTAGAAAAGAAAAAAATAGAGCTACTTTTCTTAGCCACTTGTGGTAGAGAAGAGAAGGGAAACCAGCATTGCTGTGGTGCAGGCATTGTGTTTTGTGTTTTGATATGTGATCATTCCTACAGGTAACATGTAAAGCATGGACTCACAGCACTAGGCAAGCTTCAAGAAGAATAGGTTTTGATTACATCTGAATGTGTTCACCAGTCTGCCTACTTGATATATAAGAATTATGACTTTAATATAAGGTTTCCTTAATAATTACATAGGTATTATTTGTCTAATAAATCACTTCCAGGAAAATTCCGGGTTAATCAAAAGGAAGATGATAAAAAATGCACAAACAGGTAAAATCAGTTATAGTACTGTTAAAAGTTTTGAATTGAAGATTTAGGAACTTCTTCACAAGCTTCCTATTTTTTTTTCTTGTGCAGTCTGCAGAAAACAGCAAAAATCATGTATTATTTTCTTTTTTTTTTTTGGTTTTTCGAGACAGGGTTTCTCTGTGTAGCTTTGCGCCTTTCCTGGGACTCACTTGGTAGCCCAGGCTGGCCTTGAACTCAAAGAGATCCGCCTGGCTCTGCCTCCCGAGTGCTGGGATTAAAGGCGTGCGCCACCACCGCCCGGCTTATTTTCTATTTTTAAAGCCTTTTTAAAAATAAAAATCCTTTTTACTTTTAATTACGTGTGTTCACTTGTGTCCCTGCGTGGTTATGGGTGTGTGCGTGCAGGTGCCGTGGAAAGCAGAGGTGTCAGGTCCATTGGAGCTGGAGTTACAGGCAAGTGTAGCCTGGTAGGAGGGTAAGCAATTGAATACTGTTAACTACTGAGCCATCTCTACAGCCCCTTTAAAACCTTTTTAGATCACTTAAAAATTACAAGAAAATTCTTAACAGTTAGATATAGTCAATGGGAAAGCCTTCTTGATTCAAAGGACAGGATTTTTCTTTTAAAGATGTTTTTGGCACAGATGTTAGAATACATACTTTTTTTTTTTTTTTTTTCGAGACAGGGTTTCTCTGTGTAGCTTTGCGCCTTTCCTGGAACTCGCTTTGGAGACCAGGCTGGCCTCGAACTCACAGAGATCCGCCTGGCTCTGCCTCCCGAGTGCTGGGATTAAAGGCGTGCGCCACCACCGCCCGGCTAGAATACATACTTTTATGCCATCATTTATTTGCCAGAATTTTTTTTTTTTTAAATGTCTATCAACAGTTCGTTCTATCATAAAGATACATTACTAATTGACTTGATTTCTGTTCTGTCTGATAATTTTAAATTTGTTACATACAATTTCATTTACATCTGTGACTTCTGAAAATTACCTAGTAAAATTGGGCTGAGCATACTGGTTCATGCCTATAATCCCAGTAGTTGGAAGGCAGAATCAGAATCCACAAGTTCAAGACCAGCTTGAACATAGTGAGTTCTAAGCCAACTAAGACTATATAGCAACATCCTGTCTCAAAGGATTCTAGATCTAGATTCTAGATTCTTTTTAATCGGAAAAATGGTCATTATTTATAAACATAAGTTTGAGCACTGACAGACTTTGGCTTTTATATTTTGCTACATAAAGTGAAGTTAGTGAGAGGATTGGGTGCTTGATGAAATTGGAGAACTTCCTTAGTATGCTTTAATTTCATGTGATACAGAATTTAAAAGCAATAAATGTGATGCCATATTTTTATGATTTAAAATCTTAGGCTTTGGGAATATATTAATGGCTGCTCTCCGTTTTCAGTCTGAGGAGGCCTACTTGTTAACCAGAGAGACTTCCTTTGATGTCTTTTAGTGCTGTCCTCACTCAGATGCAAGGATTATATTGTTCGTGTGTGTGTGTGTGTGTGTGTGTGTGTGTGTGTGTGTGTGTGTGTGTGTTTATATATATTATTTCAGTCTCATTCTGGTAGAGATAAGGAACAGGTAAACTACTGTCCAGGGACCAGCTGCAGTAGCTGCCTCCTTCCCCTCCTTTTCTAGTAGACTAGAAGTCTTGGTTTTAGCCAAGTGACTGTAACAGTGGTTCTCAACCTGTGGGTTGCAGCCCATTGGAGGTTCCAACAGCCCTTTCACAAGGATCACCTACGACCAACAGAAAACACATATTGTTACGCTTCATAACAGAATAGCAATGAAAATAGTTTTATGGTTGGGGGGAGTCACCACAACATGAGCAACTGTATTAAAGGATTGCAGCATTAGGAAGGTTGAGAACTACTTGTCTATAACCTTTAGCTGCATAAATACAGAATGTTCCATTTCAGATTTTTTTTTTTTTCAATTCCTCTTTTTTCTTTCAGAGTACATTCTCCTACAAAACAAGCCAGTTATTCAGTAAAGTGGACAGTACAGGAAAAAGAACTGTTTGAACAAGGACTGGTAAGTAGAGAATATTTTAACTTAAGGTAAAACTATTCTAGAAGCAAAATTTAAAAAAAAAAAAACTTTGTGTATTTGCAATAGGAGATAGCTGAAGTCTTTCTTTTTCATTCAACTATTTAGCATTGTGCATAATCCACATTTTTTAGAACATAATATTTGAAGACCAGAAACATTTTTATGTATGAATGTATCACTGAAATCTTTTTAAAAGTATAAGTTATAAAGAATAAAAAGTATGTGTGTGATTCAAATACTAAAAATACGTCATAACATGACGAAATGTTTAATAAAATAACCATTAATTTTTAAAGTATCAAGAGTAGGTTGTATATTTTCATTTAGCGTACATGTGGCTCAATTATACTAAATTTGATTTTGAGATTGTATGTAAATTATATAGGTAGTATATGATATGTATAGAACATTTGAATAAATGAATTATTTACATACAAATTATGAGAAGTAAAATATGTTGGTATTTTTCTAGTCAGTAGCATGGCAGCTGTGTATTACAGTGTTTTAATACAAATACATAAACTCATCGGGAGGTTTTCTTCCTCTTTCCTATACAATGATAGTTATGTTGGCTTTTTTCCTGTTGTCTGACAATCTAATTAACAATTTATTTAGGATGGATAACTTTGATGTTTGCTCTTTATCAAAGACTAAATATGCATATGCTCATATTTGCAAGTTCATAGTTTGTGAACTTAAGATTCTGCTTTTGTTTTTATTGTTGGCATTAGTGATGGTTATAGGGACCCATTTGTGTGTTCAGAACTCACACTTAACCTAAAGTTATTGGGTAATAAGTCTCGCTCTCGTTTCCGAGGTAATCAGTTAGCTCTTCTCTGTATATCCTTCTAGGAGTGTTTGGTCCATATGTAAGCAGATGAGAAGTTATTTATATAAATGCATAGAAATTTGTACACAGTAAGATAATTTAAACAATGATTTCCTACAGAAGAAAATGCTTTGATTTATTGGACAACTGTTATGTTGCCCACTTTTACTCATTGATACAGTTTCAGACTTGTGAGGGAATGTGGTGGTGCTGATGGTGAAGGAAGATTTTATTCTTTCTGTTTCTTTAGTGTGGGGCTATATCTTTACTGCACTTTGAAACTGGTAGATATTTTCTATGTTCCTCTTGCTAGTTCGTCTTTCATTTTCTTAGTGTTCAAACCCTGTTGTCCCAAAAGATCTCAATTTATCGAGGTCCCTCCTGTCTCTAAATGTGTTTCATGATACCAAGTCATTGGCCTTCATTCTACAGTAAAAAGAACTTATTCTTCAGTTAGTTAATACAAGCTAGGTGTTACTCTTAAATAAGTTATAACAGTTTTCTCAGAAGTACTTTGAGTTTTAACATATTGCCCATCTGGATAACAGAAATAAGTGCATAAATGAAGCTCTACCATCTGGGTCAGATCTTTAAAGATATTTTACTACCACAAGATATGGCTACATCCACAAGATATGTAGATGAGTCTGAGGAGGTTTTTCTAGGTTGTATTTAGTTGTTTTTTGTTTTGTTTTTGTTTTGCTTTTCATGGTTTTAAGAATTCTAAAAAAGGCAGGTGTTGATCTACTGTGGGAAATATCTTGTGTTAGTGAAGATTTATGTGCTAAATAAGGTTTAGACTTGGTGTCTAAATGTCCACCGTATGTCTAGAATTGTGTATTTTCTCTTTTGCACATGAAATCTCCATGGGAACGCCCAGGGTGTGGCATAGCCTTTGGCTCCAGAAGGGAGTCCTTGGTCTACTTCATCTGTCATTGAATTTTGAAAGTCATTGCACTGTGTACCCTCATTTTACTGTATACCCAGTATAGAATGTTTGCTCTAGGATACTTAAAAGGTATTGTAGAGTATAAAGTCTGAATTTAAAAGTTGCAATTAGTGTAGAATGTGTCCAGTTGATTTTGTAAGAAAAAATTTTAAAATGTCACCTACCTCTCTTTTGGGCTGTTGTAAGTCATTTTGTTTAGTTTTCGGAACTCTAGAGTCAAAGAAACATGGGCTTTGATTTTTAAGAGCATAGTCTAATAAATCGGGTTTCATTTTGTGGCTACTGTTTGAAATATTACTGAGTATGGACTCCAAAGCAAGTTTGTTTCCATTTTGATAACAGGCTAAATTTGGCCGAAGGTGGACCAAAATCGCAACACTAGTTGAAAGTCGCACAGTTTTACAAGTGAAGAGTTACGCCAGACAGTACTTTAAAAATAAGGTAAGCAGACTACAGATATCCTAAATAATAATAATAAAGTTTTGGATGAAGTTAGTAAGAACAAATACTCAATATAGACAGTAAGTATAGTCTGGATTGTTTTGGTTTGGGGTTTTTTTGGGTTTTGTTTGCTCAATATAGACAGTAAGTATAGCCTGGATTGTTTGGGTTTGGGGTTTTTTTGGGTTTTGCTTGTTTGTTTGTTTTTTGTTGTTTTTGATACAGGATCTTACTATGTAGCCCCAGCTGGCCTAGAACAATATGACAGTCATCCTGAATGCTGAGATGTAGGCATGCATCATCACCTCCATCTAAGTAGTCTTATTGTTAATACTTTTTATAGCTAAAGTAGTTTATACTTACAACATGTAAGAGTTTTGGATCTTTAAAAAATGGATTATGTTTATTTTATGTGTGTATGTGACCGTGCATTTGTGCCATGGCAGGAGTGTGGAGGTCAGAGGACAACTTGGGAATAGGTTCTCGTCTTTCACCATGTGGGTACTAGTGATTGAACTCACTTTGTCAAGCTTGGCTTACCCAGTAAGTCCTCTGTCTGGCCCAGTGGATTGTTGGTTTGTTTATTTGCTTTTTGTTTTTTAATTTTTAAAAAGTTTGGAGCAGCCATGTCCTAGCTGCAGCTCATGATGGGTGACTAAGAATGAAGCTGAGCACATTGTAGCTGATGGTGCATATTGTCATGCTCCAGCACCTCTTCAGTGTTCTGAATGTTGCTGTGTTAAACAGGAGAGTAGTTTTCCTTCCAGTCTTTAAAGCCAATCGTATTCCTAAGAGGCAGTGGTTAGCAACCTAACACTTCTTCTAGAAAATACCTATTCTTCTATAAATATTTGTGCTGTAGAAGAAACCTGTGGAAATGTTTAGAGTTTAAGGGGTATAAATGTTAACACAGAGTTATGAAATCTGTCTAAAAACAGATTGTTTTAGTTCTTGTTGTTACAAGAACTGTCTGAAAATCTTAATAACTTGTTCAGAAAGCAGTTATGATCTAGTTCCTTAATTTTTCAAATAATTTGTTCTGTATTTAGCTGTGTACATTTAAAAAAAATTAGGATACTTTATTTTATATGTACGGGTATTTTGCTTACATGTATGTGTGTAGACCACAGTGTCTACAGTGCCCGCGGAGGCCAGAAGAGGGAGGGCATTGGATTCTCTAACTGGAGTTACAGGATAGCTGTGAGCTTCCATATGGGTTCTGGAAAGCAATCCTGGGTCCTCTAGAAAAGCAGCCAGTACTCTTTAACTGCCGAGCCTTCTCTCCAGCCCCAGTTGTATTGTTTTGATATTTAGAATTTATAACTGTGTTTATTTGAGATCTGGGAGCATAATTATGTGATATTTGGAAATGCCTTAAATGAGATTTTTTTTCTAAAGTAAACAATGTGCTCTACTAGGTGTGCTTTCTTCAATATAGCAAAAAATTGCAATCATCCCAGTTGTCTATCACCAGATGATTGAATAATGGAACTTGGGATGTGTGTGTGTGTGTGTGTGTGTGTGTGTGTGTGTGTGTGTGTGTGCGCGCGCGCAATAGAATAGTATCCAGCTTTAAAGAAAAACGAAATTATAAAATTCATAGGAAGATGGATAGACTTAGAATGTATATGTAGTATTAAGTAAAACCATACTATCTCAGAAAGACAAAAACTGGGTATTCTCTCATATGTGGGATCTAGTCAGTAATATATGTATATATGTTAGCAAATGTATGCATGCGTGCAGTATAACATGTTGAAAAGAGCACAAGGAAGGCTAAATATTAGGGGATGAGTATGGACTGAGTGCGGGTGATGGATATAATGTATGAAAGAGGATATAAAGTTAATTGCTACCAGACAGTGGTGGCATACACCTTTAATCCCAGCACTCAGGAGGCAGAAACAGGCAGAACTCTGACTTCTCTTGAGTTCTGAATTTAATGCTAGCCTGGTCTACAGATCGAGTTCCAGGACAGCTAGAGCTACACAGAGAAACCCTGTCTTGAAAAACAAAAACAAAAAAATTTTTTTTTTTCTAGTTCTAACTTTGTCAAGGAGTTTTCATTTTTGGTGGTGGTAAGTGCATAGAAATATAGTCAATAGTGAAAGTGTAAAATTCATTGTGAAGCTCCACAGCTTCAGAATGGCTCTTCTAACTATGTACAAGTTCTGTAGGATATTTAAAAAGCAAGTAAAGATATGATGGCTGTTAACATGTACTTAGTTTAAAAATATTTCATCTAATTTTTTGTGTAAAGGTGAATAAACTTCAAATCTTAATATTATGTGGATGCTATTTTGATTCTTAATAAGGTAAAGTGGAGTATGGAGAAAGAAACACCAACTCAGAAGAGCAGCAGTGATCTTCAGGTCAAAAAAAAAGATGAAAGGACAAAGGTGTGGTCAGCATCTTGTTTAAGGGGGCGTGCTGATCCTAACTTGAATGCTGTAAAAATTGAAAAGTTATCTGATGATGAAGATGTAGACATCACAGATGAACTGGATGAGTTGACTTCTCAAACACCACAAAAGAGTTCTGGCAACTATCTTACTATAGACATTCCTAATAGTAAAACTTGTAAAGCCAACCAAGGAGAATTCATATGCTCAGAAGGCTTACTAGCTGCTGCTGCTGCTGCTTCTTCTGGGGAGAATCTTCAGAACGTGAAGCAAAGTGAAGTAGAAGAATGTTCAAGCTCAGCAATTACATCGTGGGCTATGAGACAGAACAATGATGGCAAAAACTCAGTTGACTTAAGGGAGAGGTACAATAAACTGGCTGAAGAGTATGATGTGCAAGATGGAAAAGAAATAGCAGATGAATCCAAGCATTCCCCTTCTCCAGAATCCTGTGAGAGTCAGCAGGATTCAAGTGGAAATGAAATGCTTTTGCCTCCTTTCCAAATGGTGGAGGAAAGCCATGAGGGAGAAGAGCTTAAGCCACCAGAGCAAGAAGTGGAAATAGATAGAAATATCATTCAAGAAGAAGAAAAGCAAGCAATTCCTGAGTTTTTTGAGGGGCGCCAAACTAAAACACCAGAACGCTATTTGAAAATTAGAAACTACATTTTGGATCAGTGGTAAGAATTACATTGCACATGTTCTAAAAACTTGATACACTAAAGTATATTGATTAGACCTATGCAGAATTGAGGATTTGCTAGAGATCCAAAGAGCTTTCGCATGTCTTCCTTCAGTAGTCAAGATTTAAAGTTTCTCATAGTGAACCTCTTTAAAACTTTAGTAAGCATGGTCATAGTATGATATGTATCATAATACATATCTGTCTTTGTGTTGTGTATGAGCCTGGGAAGAAGGGAGTGACCATTGCTGGATGGCGGGGGACAGTTTCTTGGGGCAGTGTTGGGAAGCTACAACTATAAAACACTACTGTCTGGAAAAGGAGAGAATTTCCAGTTTTCCCATGGCTTTGAGTGTAAAGGGAGGACAAACCTAGAGACAGGAGTGTCAGTAAACATGGCTGTATTGCAGACTGTTCTCAGAAATAGCTTTTCAATGCTTGCAACTATGAATGTGGAATGAACTCAGTTATTAAACCAAAAGATCACAGTCCTCATTAACCTAAATATGCTGAAAGTAACTGCACTTGTTCATGGAAGCTTATTAATAAGCCTTGGGCATCCATAGTTGCTATTAATGTTTTAGAGCACTTCTCAACCCTTTGGGTGGGGACTCTGTGTTGTCCTTTATTTTCTCTTCTGTCAAGGGTTTTCCTGTCCTGTTGAAGTGACTTTCTGCTAGAACCTAGAAATGTTCCTGAAAATTGACATGTTAAATAAATAGCTCTCTTTTCACTCAGGTAACATGAACTTACTTGGCTTTTAAAGACAGCAGCCATGTTCTAAACAAAGCGTTTTTGCACTGATAAGAGCGCTAAAGAACCAACGTGGCTAAGGATGTCCTGAGAGTAAGGGATACTTAGGAGAAACAATTGACATTTACGTAGTGCTTTGTGGTTTACAGAAAGCTGCCCTGTATCTTCTCATCTGAGTCTTCACAACAGTCCTGTGAAGTAGGCAAATGGGATCTTCGCTGTTTGAAACAGATTAGCACAATTCTCAGATAGAGGTTTAGGGTGCCTGCCTTTGATCTTTCAACCAGCCACTGACCCATGAAAGGTATCAGTCCAACTTACTCGTTCTGTTAATCCACATTGCCTAGTTGACAGTTTTTAAATGCTAATTAAATTAGATCTCTGTTCATACTTGGGTTTAGTTTGGGAAATAAAAGGATAGCCAAAATTGAAGGCCTTCAAAGCAATTTCTACCTCAGAAATGTCACGACTAGTTCATACTTAATGTTAGTTTAAACAAATTTTGTTATGTTAAATTTTGGATTTTAAATTAGGATAAATTACATAGGTAGTATAAATTACATGGCAGTAGTTTCCTACACAAAGCCTATTTGGATTACTGTTTAAGAACTATTTTTAAAGAGAAAGGCATGAAGTACAAAACAGAACACAGGTAATACTTTAAAAAAGGAAAGGTAAAGTTTTGAAAATAAAGAGACCTAGCTGAACTTTCTTTTCCATGAGAGCAAGTGCAGTTGGTTTTATTTAGGGTAAGTTTTTATTAAAGTGTTAACCAACTCTTAACACCATTATTCTACCACATGCCATGCATTATACTGAAATCGTCTTCAATTCTCTTGACAGTCTTTCCAAATGAGAAAAATAAGGTTCCCAGAGGATGAGATCGCACTTAGGGTGAAGCGATTTCAGCTTCTGTGTTGATTCAGTGTTTAAAAAGCTGTAACTGCGGCCACAGCTCCTTTACCTTCAGAGCTTACGGTGCTGGCTCTTGACTCCTTAGGTCTGCTCAGGGAAGGGGAGGTGTGTGCGGCTCCTCCTTGTTCTGGCACCTTGTTTATTTTTGTCCTGCAGCTTACTGCCACGGAAAAGGCTACAGTTTTGTCAATTGTCTTCTCCCCTCATCCCTCAGGAGTGTAGGCAGTGGGAAGACAGTTCAGTTGTCTTCAGCCCACTGCCTAGACAGTGCTTAGAATACTGTAGGCATTTCAGTTGTTAGGGGAAGAAGACTAAAGAAACATTTACTGTCTGAGCAGTGAACAAGGCTGTTGAGCTTCTTGCAAAGCCTTTTGATTGGAGAAGACGGATGGAGACTAAGCCAGTTTTTAGGTTCCTGTCACTTTTTAGTAGCTCTACTTTTTCCTACTTTCTTGTCATACTTGTTTAGTTTGTTTGCTTTCCTTTCATGGAACACTGGAATTTCAGTTTTTTTGTAGAAGTTACAGTATTCTCCTCCATCACAATTACTTTCACGTTCTATGGACTTCATAGATTTATGGACTTAAATTTTGTCTATTTAGGGAGGTCTTCCCTAAGCACCCTATCTAAAGTAGACTGTGCCTGTTTGTTGCCCTGTATCCATCCATCTACATAGGCTTCTTTTTCTTTTTAGCGCTGTTGTTTGATAACATAATATGTATTATTCCTTTATGTATTGATAGTCTCCATTGGAATTTAAGATCTTTGAAAATAGGAACTTTATATTACTCACCTCAGACCCTTGTTCCTAGAACAGTGTCTAGACATTGGACACAAGTCCTTACTGAATAAAATGTGACTGAGTACTGTCTGTGTTGTCACTTAGCATCAGGGTCCGTGTCTGCATCTTAATCCTATCGCTTCCTCAAGTAGGTAGGTGCTGTAGTGATTCTGGCCAGCCTGCTTGCTCCCTTCTAAGATGGGGTTGGGAAAACCTTTCTCTTAGAATTATGTGTACCTAACATTACAGCATTTGGCATACTCAGTAATTGATTTCTATTCTTGTGAAGGTCTCTTTCTGTTAAATTTATATTGTGTTTTCTAGCATAGTGCATTAAACAAATACATGATTATTATATGAATTTTTAATTTCATTGGGAGTTTTTTAATTCCTTTGGAAATCCCTAGAATACTTATATCTGTTTTCTTTTGAGACTAAGTGCTTATAATTAAAAATGAATATACAATATTTAAAACTTTTTGAGAGAGTTAATAATTAACAGCATTGGGAAAGCCTTGGGATGGAGAGTATAACTCAGTGTTAGAACAGTTGCCTAGCAGCATGAGGCCAGTACTATAAAAAATAAAAAGTAGGGGGAATGTCTTAGTACTAAATTTCTTTAATTCCCAAAGTGCTCTTTTTATTCACAGATGTAGAAGTGAATTTGCTTCTGTACAAAATAAGTTGCTAATTTCAAGGTTGGGGGACACCTGGGATCTATGGGGCTTAGTATTGGGGAAGAATATTTGTAACACTATTACACTTACAGGTACTTGTAAGTTGTTGCATCATTTAAAGATATTTTACTTGTGAAAAAAAGGACACTTGGGTATTTATTTGTTACACAATTAGGCATTGAGTGAAGATAAAATTTTAAGATATTTCATATATTAAAAGTTTTCCCCAGAAATCCCTTTTTAAATGTTTCTATTCATCCAGAATAATTGTACTTCCATCTCTTAATTAGGGAAATATGCAAACCGAAATACTTAAATAAGACCTCAGTACGTCCTGGCCTGAAGAACTGTGGGGATGTTAATTGTATTGGACGGATTCATACATACCTCGAGTTGATAGGAGCAATCAATTTTGGATGTGGTAAAAATAAAAACCCAACAACATCTTTTACTTGGCATTTTTTTATCCTTATAGCACCCATTAATTTTTATGATGGTTCAAATTCAAGTGGATTTAAGTATATGGAATTCAGAGAAAGAGTGTAATATTATGAAATAAGTGTATCATTAAGACTTGATATTAAACAGATTTCTGCTAATTAAACTGTTTCCCTTTGAAAATACAATTTTAAAGGAAAATATTTTATCTACATAATAGTAATAATTTAACAAAGAGTTCTTTGTCAAGTAAAAGTAAATAATTTATGAGAATCTAAGAATAGCCTATTTACTTTAAAAAGATACAGGTTGAGACCAGCATGGCTGTTAAAAAAGTTTAGATGTTGGGAGCATTTTTCTGCACATATTCTAAGATCCAACAAAATTTGAAATTTGAAGTGTTACTCACTCACCCTATACTGTATTCCTGCTAGAGATGCTTTCTAGCAATGCTGAAATGAAGGCAGTAACTTATGAACTTGTATATTTAATTATAATAAAAGCACAAAAGTATTTTAACAAGGCTGGTGAGGTGGCTCAGTGCCATTTGCCCCTAAGCCTGAGCCGTGAGTTTGATCACAGAGATCTCCTTGGTAGGAGAGAACCAACTCCCATAAGTTGTCTTATGACCTTGATGTGTACGCACCTGCACACGTGTGCACATGTATACACACACACAATTTTTTTAATTAGTGAAACTCTTTCACTCTTGGTTTTTTTCTGATTTAAGTTGATGAGTATACATATGTCAGAATGAATTCTTCCTGATCACTGAATTCACGTGACAGAGCTCTGAAAAAGCTAGTGGTGATGGGTGCAGGTAGTGATAAAGAACCAGAACCTTACCAACCCTGGTTTTGGAGGTGAGCAAGAGAGCTAACCCGAAAGCCTCTGATAGATGATTTCATTTTTGTGTATTGAGAACACATTTGTCTTCCACATGCTCTGTGTAGAGACCAGCTATTTGGGAACTTCATCTATTTTAGCCGCAGCCACAGAGATGACGTATGTTTTCTGTATTAAACTGCCAAAGTCAGCAAAGTGGGCTCAGCACTCATTTCACCAGAAGTTATACAGATTACTTAGTTCTTAATAATTAATTGCTTTTACTGGGCTGCCATTTTATGAACAGCATTATTCATTTGAGAACTAAGTGACATATCAAATGTACGATTGTGAGATAAGAATCATGGGAGCTCAGCTGTAGTCAGCATAGTATATCTTCCTATTTAACAGATTTCACAGAATAATAGATGCGTTTTATCTTTCCTAAATTCCAACAGAACAGGCAATATATAACAGACCACACCCAGTTGATAAAGTACGAGTGAGTGATGCGAAAGATGCAGAAGCAGCATACCAGCTTGCCTGGCGCCTGCAGTCTATGGTAAGTAGCTGTTTTACTAAACAAATGGCCACTGAGTGGAAGAACATGTTTTCTCTTGTGTTTCACCTTGGCCATTTAATTTTCTGGCTTCTTTTGTATATGAGACAAAAACCAAACAAACTGGAAAACCCTTCAAGTTCACTGTCAGAGTCTATAGAAACATCCTTACTAAAGTGGCCTTGGGCTACTTGGTTTTGATTTGTAAATTTAACATGTTGGGTGCTAGAAAGATGGCTCAGTGGTTAAAGAGTACTTGCTGCTCTTGCAGAGGACCCCAGTTCAGTTCTCAGCATGTACCTCATGCAGACCACAAGCATTTGTAACTCCAGTTCCAGAGGATCTTCACCCTCTACTGGCCTCCTGGGCATCTAGCATGCATGTAGTGCACAGACATACATGTAGGTAAAACACCCATAAACATTAAGAAAACATTAAAAAAAAAAACAGCAATACACAAACCAGCTGAGGGTGGTGGCGTGTGCATTTAACCTCAGCATTCAGAAGGTTGAGGATGGTAGAAAAGATCTCATTAGTTTCACATTAAGTTGGTGACAGGTAAAATAAGTCTTGGATATACCTCAATTTGCTGTCTTCAGAAAGACTGTTTTCAAGTGGCTCTTTGGAGATCATACAAGTTACACACCTCTCTTTGGCAGCTGGTTCATTTTAAGCACCTCAGATATGATGTTTGCAGAACTAGTTGAGTCGTTTTTGGAGTTTTTTTGTTTGTATTAATTTGGCAATGGCCTTTCTAAACCTGGGATAATCATTTTGCTTCTACTTTCCCTATACTCTTTCCTGTGTTTTCTTCTCTACCACAGATAATTGGAAACAAGTTCATTTTCTTGGTGCTTCTTTCTAGTCTTAGCAGTATTTTTATCATGGTATTTTAGCTCCTAAATGGTAATAGAAAGGAAAATAAAAAGAAATCGAGTAAAATGCAGAAAATCATCAGTGCTATGTTTTTTAAAGTGGTACCTTGATGCTGCCACCTAGCTCCTACCTTGCTAGCTGCTGCTAGTGGCCACGAGAAGTCAATTGAGTATCTTTAAGCAGAGAAATAGCTGACTGTTACACATGATCGATAGAATACAGTTAGTGAGTTGATGAACAGACATTAAAATACTTAAGTAATAGAGTTTTAGATAGTTATTAAGTTTTGTGTGTTCATGTGTTAAGGATTTTGCCAGGTTAATTTTGTTACATTTTACCTTTATTTTTTTCTTAATGTAGCGTACAAGGAGACGTAGGGTCCGAGACCCATGGGGAAACTGGTGTGATGCAAAAGACTTAGAAGGGCAAACATTTGAGGTAATTTTGACCTTATTTGTGGTTTATCCTTGAAAACTTGTTTGTGTCATGATTTTAATTCCTGTATATTACACTAATTTCATTATTGAAGTGTGTGTGCTCATTCCCATGTTAATTATTTATTGAAAAGTTACCATTAACCAAACTGGAGGTATCAGTGGTACAGTTAACTTGCACTCAGAATTTTGGTTCTCTATCTCCATCTCTAAATCAAGAGTAAATGCCAGACTGAGGAATTGGTATGCCCTAATCATTTCATTAAACGTTAATGTTCCTTTGAATGATGTTTGTTAAACCAATTAAAATACTGTTCTAAACATTATGCATACTGAATTATAAATATTGAAATGTTATTTCTGCTAATAGAAATTGGGACCCTGAAAGGAAACATAGGCAATAAATATTGTACGTATATATATATATATACACACATGCACACGTGTTTACATGTAGAATTTGTTGTAGGTAATTAGTGTAGTGGAGTGGAAAGAAGGTATAAATATATATTTATTAGCTTTCTTATCTCAAATAGCTACTTAATTGCACTAAATCTCAAATTTTAATTTATAAAGTATGGATGGTACCTCTCTGAAAGGATTTTAAAAGAAATGAGATGAAGTATATTAAGGTCCTAGTATTAGTTATTCAGTAAGCCTGCTTGGACAAGGTACTCAATAAATGTTACCTTTCTCCTGTCCCTTCTCCTCCCTCTCCTGTCCCTAACCTTACACCCAGTACTCTTATTGGCATATTAATAAGTAATACATGGTTCCTTCCCATAAGGTTGGTCTAAGAATATGAGGTATTCCCAAAGAGTGTGATGAGGAAAGAGTTTGAACCAAAGGATCAGGAGAAGAATCATCTCAAAATATAGATGGAAGCATTCTAGGCTGAGGGAGTTGCAGAAGCAAAGGTACAGATACAGGAAAATTATTAATATTCTGGGAAAGGTGCATAGTTTGTTCAATTGGAGTGTAGGGGTGGTAGTAGAAAGTACTAGATTATGAACATTAACATGTTTAACTTCACAGTACACCATGACAGTTATTGCTGCTGTTATTATTTGTTTTCTAAAGATGAGGAAACTGAAGTGTGGAAGCTTCAGAGCTCTACAGTGGTCTCTCAGCTGATAATGAATAGAGCCATACATTTTTGCTCCAGAATTTTATGATGTTGACGCATCTCACTTCCATGGTGCCAGAGAGGAAACCAGGACCTCATGCATACTAGACAAAGTATACTTTATCACCGAACTACCCTTCATGGTGGTGTCTTAAGTTATAAAAGAAAATTCAGCTACCTGAGCCCTGGAAACTAGAAATGAGGAATAAAGACATGGAGGTTTTTTGAAACTTAATGACTGATACCCTTGATTAAAATGGGCAAGTCTGGAGAAGAAACACATTTTCATTTTGATAAGGCCATATATTTTAAATTATTAAATAATTTTAAAAGTTATTGCCCAGGATTTATTAGTATCGAGGAAACAATGCATACTGACTTGGTTGGTCTTGTTCTCACATGTCCATAACTGTTTGATTTCTTCTGCATCAGTAGCTGATGAACCCTTTGATTGGCTGTTTTGTTTTAGCATCTGTCTGCGGAGGAGTTGGCAAAAAGAAGAGAAGAGGAAAAGTGCAAACCTGTTAAATCTTCAAAAATTTCCAAACTACCAAAAAGGTAGTGTTATGTTATATATTTTCTTAACTTACCACACATGGTTAGAAAATATGAAAAAATACCTGATAGCTTCATTAGATACTTTGTATAATATATACGAGATAGAATACTTTTCTTTTTTCCTTCTGTGTGCAAAAGAGAGAGAGTGTGTGTGTGTGCACACTCATGTGTGGGCCTGAGGTTGATGTCAGGAACGTCCTCTGTCATTCTCACACCTTATTTATTGAAGCATAGTCTCTTTATCAAACCCAAAGCTTGTAGATACGGTTGGTCTTGCTAGCCAGCTTGCTCTGGAGACTGGAATTACAGGTGGGCTACCATGCTCACCCAGGATTTGCATGGATTCCTGAAACTCCAAACTCAGGTTCTCATGCTTTCAAGGTGAGCACTTAACCACTAATCCATCACCTTAGCCCTTTACCATTTTTAATTGAAAAATTACTGATCACATTTTGGAATTGTTTTTTAAATTACTTTATTTCACCGATTATCAGTTTGAGAACTTTGGACCGGCATTTCAGAGTTCTGGCTCATCGAGTTTTGGGGATTACCTAGGGGACCTGTATATAAAAGGAGTCCTTCAACCCTAGACATGGTCAAACAATCCCTTTTTCTTGCTGAATTTTTACAAGTTGTTGTGAAGTTTGTTGTTTTTAATGTGATATAATCTGAAAATTTTAATTTGTAAAATGTTTGAGTACATTGAATTCCTTGATTTTTCTAGGCGTCTTAGTTTCTGCAGCCCCATTAAGTAGACTTTAGCCTATCACTTTCCAAAGCAATATATTAAGGAATACTGTTGCAGTTGTATTTCCTTGTCAGGACTTGGTTCCTTACTTAGAAACTAATTAAAACAGCTAACATTGCTTGCTGTGTTTTAAGTACTTTTTTTTTTCTTTTATGTGCACACACCTAATCCCTTGACAACCCTTTGCAGTGTGAGCATCATGCCCATTTTACCCTTAAGAAAACTGAGTGACAAAGAAGTGGCCATGTAGTATTTGTTCATGCTGCCTAGTGTAGAAACTGATTTAAGACCAGGAATCCTTAGACCTGAGAGTGTAACTCAGCACATTGTCTGTTTCTTTTCCAAAATGTAAATTTAACCTTACCCTGTAGGGCAAGTGGACTAAGTTAAAAATCATTAATAAGCCCAGACTCCTTCCAGTATTCATACATTTTATTTTCTGAGTCTGCGTATGAAATTTAGCTTTATTGTGATTTAAGCTGTTTTGTCTTGCCAGGAACCTTTTAAATCCACCCACACTTTTCTCATCTTTGTACGGTTAGCATTGATTCATCAGCATTGCAGTAAAGTTACTTTTTCTACTATTCATTACCAAATAAAAAGGTCTACTGGAATAAGCCTCGGAAATCATTATTCAGTCATCTGATATACTTTAACACAGTTAACCCATATGCTTTTATCTTACTTACATGCAAGTCATAGATATCTCGCTTAAAACTCAGATTTTAAAATGGTAGTGTCTAGTTTGGACCAAATCATTCCCACCAAAACTGACAGTACACTTTACTTATTGTGACACATATTTTTCATGAATCCATTAATATTGATCATCTCTTTGCTTTTCTAGAATTTTATCTGTATTCAGTATCTAATACCTCTGTTTCCAATATCTACTGTTTGTGGTTTGTCCATTAAGTGTCTGTAGCCATCCTCAGCAACCCTTCAAGAAACATCAACCTGCTCCTGTTTGTACAGGTTAAGTTCACACACATTCTTCAGACTATTCTCTCTTCATCATCATTTCCACATTTCCAATCTGTCTCTGTCTGCATTGTTATTATTTATTTATTTGCTTTTTATGTGTATTGCTGTTTTACCTACACATATGTAGGTGCATGCCTGATAGCCTTGGAAACTAGAAAGAGTGGGTTGGATCCCCTGGAACTGGAGTCAACAACAGTTGGTTGTGAGCTACCTTGTCAGCATTGGAAATCAAACCTTCATCTTCTGGTTTTTTGTTGTTGTTGTTTTTTCATGTATACAGTGTTCTGCCTGCATGTATGCCTGAAGGCCAGAAGAGGGCACCAGACCTCATTATAGATGGTTGTGAGTTACCATGTGGTTGCTTGGAATTGAACTCAGGACCTCCGGAAGAGTAGCCAGTACTCTTAACCTCTGAGCCATCTCTCCAGCCCAAATCTTCTTCTCCTCAAGAGCAGCCAGTGCTCTTAATTTTCAAGCCATTTCTCCAGCACTTAAACATTTAGTTTTTGGGGGGTTCATTTTGTTTTGTTTGTTTTGATACAGTCTGATATGTCCCAGAGTGGCCCCAAACTCGAGGTGTAGCTGAGGATGACCTTAACCATGGGTCCTCCTGCTTCTACCTCCCAAGTGCTGGGATTACAAACATGTCCCAACTCACCCACCTTCCTTCTTATTCATTTAATTTAAAGATCTTCTTTTATCTTTTGTCCGTTTTTAAAATTCCTACATGTTTTGGGCCCTGGGGTACAAGACTAATAAAACAAAATACCTTTACACACTCTTGTCAGATGGGAATTCCATATGCTACTCTTTCCAAGTTGTCTTAATAGAAACATTTCTGATTGTTTTTCTTTGTATAAACATTCTTCCGATACCTGGAGATACAGCTCAGTGATTAGGAGCATTTACTCTTGCAGAGGACCTAGGTTCAGTTCCCAGCACCAACATGGTGGCTCACAAACATCTATAACTCTAGTTCTGAGGGATCTGACATCCTCTTTGGACCGTTGTGGGTACCAGCATGCATATACATATCTACATTCAGGCAAAACACTGATACATATAAAGTAAAATTTTATAAATCTAAAAATAATACTAAATTAAAAAATTGTTCTGCTATTTTCTTCATAACTCAATTTTTAGTGGTCAAAAGCTTTCTTAGTCTTTTTTCTGGTTTGCACACACTTTTGCATCTGGCCTTGCTTAGATTTCCCTTTCTATCTCTTTACATTTTGAAGTAATATCATAGGCCTTTCTGTTTGCTTTAATCTGTTTGATAGACTTGTTATTCCTTAATTTAACAGCTCTTTCTTCAATCCCCACTATAGTGACCTACTATGATGCTGACAAGTGTTGGTATCCATGTGTTTCCTTTGAGACAGAGTCTCAGTATAGATCCCTGGTTGGCCTAGAGCTCACTATGTAGAACAGGCTGGCCCTTGCCTCATGAGTAGTGGGATTCAAGGCTACATCACAACACTTAGCCTGGCAAGCTGTTTTGAGAAACTTATTACTTGAGCTTCTGTCAGGTCTCATGTTGGGGAAATAGTTGTTTCCCTGAACTTTTGATATCTCCTTTCAGTTGAAGAGCTGTGTCTGCTCACCAGCTCCTTCAGTTGCTAAAAGAAAATAAAACAACAAAACTACTTTGTCCCAGACTTCCTGCTCTGTCAGATCTAAAAGAATGTGTAGCTCCTTATAAGGGATTCTCCTACTCTAATATTTTTTCATACAGGCAAAAGTTTGGGTTTATATTATTGCTAATTTTTCAAATTAGTGATTTTTTTTTTCTTTTTCAGCTCACTTGATCCCTTCCAACTGATACCTTGTAATTTTTTCAGTGAAGAAAAGCAGGTACTTGTTATCAATGAGTAATCACAAATAATGCCCTCTTTGGACAGGAATTACTTACTCTTTATCTGTGTGTGTGAGGCATGTGTATGAATGAATTGGACATGGCAGGGTATAGTAAGGATCGGGTGAATGAGTCAGGCAGAAAATGAGAGGGAAGAGCAGTTTCCTGCTAGGGCTTTGAAGCTTAGTTGTTTTTAAGTCTCATTTGTCCTGAACTTTGATAAATGATGAGAACTTGGTGGGGTGGGTAAGCAGAAAAGGGTGGATATTCCAACTGGGGAGAACAAAAATCTCAGTATTTATGCTATCCCCCTTTTCTTTTTCTATTTCAGGAGCCATTTCAGGTGAAAGTAGCTTCAGAAGCACTTTTGATAATGGATTTGGTAAGGATAACCTATTGTGCTTAGTTATTCTGATTTCTGTTCTTGTATTTCCTTTATTCATTTTTTTGTAGACCTAAGAGAAAATGGAAGACATATTTCAGATTTTAACTATTTCTTTATAAGGAATCTAATTTCTTTTGAAGGAAAGCTAGACAAGTGCATCTTTCTATATTTTAGAAAAAAATAAGTTTCTGTGAGTTTTGCAGATTGTCTACCATCAGTAACCTCTGACCATTTTCTAATATCCCATGTCTGCTGTCCAGATGACTGAAACTCCACTACATCTAAACTGCGGAGGCTCCTTGGGTGTACTGCCTGCAGACCCTCTAACAGTTGTGTGTGTTTCAGGTCATTTTCTACAGAAGGTTCTAGAGTGACTCACTCTGTGTCCTTTGAATGCAGTTGGTATCTTTCTTTTTAAGTGAAGAAGTTCCATATTGGTAGAATTATTAAGGCAACTCCACATAGTTAAACGGGAGGTTTATTTTTGTGGGGTAACTTACAAGTGAAGGGATAGGTAACAGGGTCTGGGAAAGGTGAAGCGCAGTCCAGCGGTGTTCTCTGGAGAACTCTGCTCGGTCTACCTCCAGTGTCCTGGATCCAGGAACCAAGAAAGCTAGCCAGCCCATCCGGATCTCGGTTCTTCAGGGGTCCTGTCTCAGCTCCGCCTTGTAGGCGTGACAGTTACCAAAGCCTCAATGTGGGTGGTACTTCCAGGTCAAAGCTGGAATGGCTAGCCACTCCAGTTCTGTCTTCTACTATGTGCTTCAAAGCTTCCCAGGTAGCCGAAAGGAAAAGGGTGTGAAGTCTGAGCCAGATGCTTGGAGCCCAGCTGCCAGCTCCCTGCTGTGCCTCTCTATTCAGAGCAGTGCAGTTGCTGTTCTGCAACACTGTTCTATGATTCTTTGTTGACTGCGAGTGTGGATTTGGTCTGAGTCTGTCCTGTTTCTTTTAGCATGCTCATGTCTCTATGGCAGAGGTGATTGGGCTGTTAGGAGGAAGATACTCAGAAGCTGAGAAAACCGTTGAAGTAAGTCTTACTTTTCAAACATTTAAGTTACCAAGTCTTGGTGCCATACCAAACATTTTATGGAACCCAGAAAATACTGATTTTTATCTGTATTTGTGAGAGTATACATGTATAGAAAATTACGTATTCAGAAGTGACTCAGCATTCTATTTACTGAGCATCTGCTTCCTGTCAAAAGAGAGAGGATTCTGCCAGCCTTGGCTACCCACTACCTTTACCAGTGAAAAGCTACAACTAAGGGCAGTAATGTATTCTAGTGCTTGTGGGTAAACACTGGTATACATCATTCTGCTGAAATTATTTTCATATGTAACAGGAATTGTTGAAAATGCCTTTGGGTAGGTGTTATGGTGCAACCTGGAAACTAACCATTATCATGCCTTTTAGATTAGAAAAATGCTACCTAAGTTTGTAGCCTACAGTTACACTTTTGGAGTTTATTTAGCAAGGAATAGAATTGATAGGATTTCACTATGATCATTTACAGGTGTGTGCAGCAGAACCATGTAACAGTCTGAGTACAGGACTACAATGCGAGATGGATCCTGTATCACAAACGCAGGCCTCGGAAACCTTGGCTCTTAGAGGCTACAGTGTTATTGGGTGGTACCATTCTCATCCTGCATTTGATCCTAATCCATCTTTACGAGATATTGACACACAAGCCAAATACCAGGTGTGTTTATACTATTATATACCTACATTTTGTAAATTATTACACATCCTCCTGTTGATTTTTGTGAAGTAAAACATCTGTTATTTTTAGCTTTACACTAAGTTTTTACATCTACAATTTTGAAATAACTTGCTTTTTTTCCTGTTACATCAATAAGTATTTGGAAAGTCAACAGTTGAGTATAGACAGGTTTTTTTTGTTTTGTTTGTTTTATTATAGACAAGCTCCTAGAGCCCTTAAAAACTGCCAGAAAGGGGCTGGAGAGATGGCTCAGAGGTTAAGAGCACTGACTGCTCTTCCAGAGGTCCTGAGTTCAATTCCCAGCAACCACATGGTGGCTCACAACCATCTGTAATAAGATCTGGTGCCCTCTTCTGGCCTGCAGTCATACATAATAAATAAATAAATAAATCTTTAAAAAAAAAAAAAAAGAAAAGAAAAAACTGCCAGAAAGAAGTAGGACAACTGCTGTGGGATGTTCTGTATGGCAAATGTGTTGCTCTGATTGGTCAATAAATAAAACACTGATTGGCCAGTGGCCAGGCAGGAAGTGTAGGCGGGACAAGGAGGAGAATAAAGCTAGGAAGTGGAAGGCTGAGTCAGAGACACTGCCAGCCGCCATGATGACAAACAGCATGTGAAGATGCCGGTAAGCCACGAGCCACCTGGCAAGGTATAGATTAATAGAAATGGATTGATTTAAGCTGTAAGAACAGTTAGCAAGAAGCCTGCCACGGCCATACAGTTTGTAACCAATATAAGTCTCTGTGTTTACTTGGTTGGGTCTGACGGCTGTGGGACTGGCGGGTGAGAGAGATTTGTCCTGACTGTGGGCCAGGCAGGAAAACTCTAGCTACAGACAAGACTTGTTATAACTGTAATAGTTGGAAGGATTGATATATCTCTTTGTAAAAAACAAGTTGTATTTTTACTCACTGTTACGTTTAATGTGTATTTTCTATGTAGGTAGCTATTTATTATTGCCTTGTTAATAAGAATTATAGTCAAATGATTTGGCATGTATGTAAACACATTTGTGGTATGGGCTTTGTTGGACAAAGACTCTTACTCCGTGGGCCCAGATTGGCCTGGAACTTGTGGTAATTCTCCATACTCCTGTCTCAGCCTCTTGAATACTGAGATAGATGTGTACCACCACACCCAACTAATATATGTGGCACTTCTGTTGTCTTTTTGTTTTTAATTTTGTATGTTTGTTTGTGAGGTGAGGTGCACACTGATGTATTTGCACATGAGCCAGAGGAGAACATTTGGTGTCCTCTTCTGTCACTTTCCATTTTATTCCCTTGAGATGGGATTTCTCCCGGAACCTGTAGCTAGACTGGCACCCAGGAACCTGTAGCTAGACTGGTACCCAGGAACCTGTAGCTAGACTGGTACCCAGCAGTCCTCCTGTCTTTCCATCCCCTTCCCCAGCACTTAGACTACAATTTACAGGTGCATATAACTGATTACAACAGGCTTATGTGGATTCTGAATGGGGGAAACCTGCTCGTCCTGCTTGCACAACTTCTCTTACATACCAAGTCTTCTCCCTAGCCATGCTGTATGTTTTTTCAAAGATCATCTCTGATGAAGGTGAACAGTTTGGGCCTGAAACGAATACATAAGGCATTTCATTCAGTTGCTGCTGTTTGGATAGGGCTCTTTTTTGTTATCTTTTCTCCAGTTAACTATCAATTAGAGCCTTGATAGTTGAAATTAATTAAACTTTTCTTTTCATTGTAGAGTTATTTCTCCAGAGGAGGAGCAAAGTTCATTGGAATGATTGTTAGTCCATATAATCGAAGTAATCCTTTACCATATTCCCAGATTACCTGCTTGGTTATAAGTGAAGAAGTTAGCCCTGATGGGGCCTATCGTAAGTTTCAGCAATAATAACTTCTTACTATCCCTATCCTCAAATCAAAGAACTTAGAACTGTGTAAAACTATTTGATGAGAAAGTGTGTTTATCAACCAAGGACTCATTGCATGCCACCTAGTTAAACCAACCTCTTTCCTTTCATTCTGGAGTTAGCATGACCTTAGATAAAAAGATGAAAATGTGGAGAAATGTTAGAGCAGGCAGTGTATCTGCTAAGTGCTGGAGACATTGTGTTGCACAGGCAGTGTGCATGCTAAGTACTGTGAACATTGCATGCACAGGACGTGTGTATATACTGGGCACTGGAAACATTGCATGTATATGTAGTGTATATACTAGGCACTGGAGACATTGCAGAACACAAAACATAGTTCTCAGAAAAGTATTTTCATAAATGCAATCTTGCTTTCTCTGCTGTGGTATACAAATAAAGAAAAAACAAAACCATAACCCAGCTTCCCATTACCTCCTGGGTATCAGGGTTCCCAAAGACAAGCTGACTTCAGATCTCCTCAGTCCCATCCGTAACGAGAGAGGTCCAGCCCCAAATAACTCTCTCCCAGGGTCCATGGAAGAATCTTAACCACCAGCTGGGAATCTAATCTTAGAGCTATCAAAAGAACCTACGCACACCGTGCTCTTTGAGTCCATTCACTTTGTTGCTCTGAGCTCTCCCTGTACTCTTCTTTTCAGCTCTCCTGCTTCGCTCTTGCCTGATTGTCTGTACCTTTTTCTGCTCTTCTCTTTGTTCTGTCTTAGTTCTCCCCCAAGTCTCTGAAGTTTCCAGTTTTTATACACATACACTCATGCACTCAGCAATTCTCTGGCCAAAGCAAGGTGACAAGGCTTGAATTCTTTCAGGGTCATAAAACAAGGTAAGAGTTTACACCAGGCAGTGACTGTCAGGCTTTCTTCACGACTCAAGGAGGGGGTGACTTGTGAAAGCCTCAGTGAACTCTGAGAGGGAACAGGGTCAAATGAGAGGGAGAGAGACCTTAAGTCAATTAGGGAAATCTAAGAAGGAAAAACGGGAATCCATGTGTAATACTAAATTCCTAAGTGTAGTTAGATAATAAGCTAATTAACAAAACAAGGTGGCAGGAAAAGGAGTTAAGATTTTGTTAGTGCGAGGTTAGCTTGGGGCAGCACTTTTCCTATCTGTTGGCAGGGTGAGCCCAGGGCATGCTTGTTCCATATCTATCTAAAGCCTGTGAATCAACAAATTCATACATGTTATAATACTATGTCCTTGGATGTCCGAGAATGTCTCAAATGAGATATTTTTGCCTAGACACTTAACACTGACCAAATGCCTGCCAATGAAGATAATTGCAGGAAGACAGACCTCTAAGTTTACTTTGGAGAAAGGAACAAAGACCTAGTTGGGGGAAACAGGTTTTGACTGTGTGACTATTTTTCACACATAGCTGGGGGATGTTGTCCAAATACCCGACATGTATAGGGGAAATTGTGGCCAATAAATTATCAATCACACTATTAGAAGTTCTTGGGAAAAGAATCAAATGAGAAGGCTACAATAGCACACAAGAAATTCACTGCAGGAAACAGCTAATACATTCAAAAACCAGTATCACCAAACTTTTGAGTTTTGGCTTCAACCTCCACCAGAGCCCCTGGCTCTAATGGGTCAGCCTTGTCAGTGCTAGCTGAGTTCCTGCTTCATAGTTCTGCGGCTCGCAGCACATCTGTCTCAAGAAAGAATTAGTTTGACATAGCCAACTACCCCACTTGGTTTCTCTGGGTTGTGTGTCTCCTTGTGGCTCTTCCACAGCAGACTAAGCAAGGCAGGGAGGGAACTTTGTAAGGAAGTGGTTGGAGACTCAGATTTTTCTCTGGGTGTAGTTCTGTGTGAACTACATTTGCAACAGTCCCTTCCTTGTTGAATCATGACATCTTTGACACGTCATACTGTACTCATTTTTCTCTCCAGCTTCCAGCATGGAGCCTGGCATAAAGTGGATTCTAAATGAATGTTTGCTTAATAATTAATTTCTCTTTATTCTTAATCATCTTTCTTTGATGCTCTATCCTTGGTAAAAATCTTCTCAGCACTGTTGACTGTTTGTTTTTTTATAAATCTGCAGTACTTTTTCTGCTTAATGGCCACTTTGGCTTTTAATGCAATTTATTTATTATTTTTATATCCTTAGTTCCAGCTAATCAACACTATGAATTTTTATTGAATGAATAATATCAGTAGTAGTCCAGAATGCCCTTCTGAGTACAGCACATAATACACATAAAATTCTTCACCGTAACCAGAAAGCATCACAAAAAAACTTGTCTTCATTTTAAGTCAGATCTCAATCTTCTGGGTTTGTCATGAGCCTCTATTCCAATCATATCTAATACAGTTAGTTGATACTTGGTACATGTGACTATTCACAATTTAATTCACTAGAATTTAATAATTTCAAACTTAAGTAATTCTGTTTCTGGCCAAAATGAAGTAATAAGGAGTTTTTTTAAGCAACCAAAATAGTAGGCAAAATACACAACACAGTAGTATTTTATTTAGGATGTAACTCAAGGCTATGAAGGAAGATGGTTGCTAAAAGATGGGAAGCAGATCAGTTAAGCCCAATTGCTATCCTTTAGTGACCCGGAGGAGAGACACACAGCCTGGTCCTGGCAAACTTGTGTGAACGTGATGGAGGTGAGGCAACTGAGTTACCAGAGCGAACTCCTGAGAGTTGTAGAAGACACCCCCTTAAGTAGTTAGCTAAGTATAGACAGCACATGTTTGTGAAGAGACTAGCAGAGGCAGGAGACAGCCACTGGGGAGAACTGCAGTCTGAAGTCCTGGTAGTTTCCTCAGCTTTAACAGGAATGCCGCCTGCTGAGGCCACGTTGCCATGGGCTTGATGACTTGTATCCTAGGAAGGTACTATGCCTTGCTTTGCCAAGAACAGTCTAGTTTGTTGCTGATTCTGCCCTTTTCCGCTTAGAATGATAAGTGAGATGCCATCCTGCCTTGGATGGTGCTTTTCACAGAGCTGTTGGAAAAGGAGATTGGAGAAATAGTTGATGAAAATGTGCCTCTTTACACTTCTCTAGGTTTACCTTACAAATTTGAAGTCCAACAGATGTTAGAAGAACCACAATGGGAATTAGTGTTTGAAAAGACAAGATGGATAATTGAAAAATACAGGCTTTCTCATAGGTATGTGCCTTGGTTTGTGATGGCCCCACATTTACAGTCTTTCTCATTAAATTGAATCAGAGAAAGCAAAGCCTAGATTTAATACAGAATCCTGATATCTGGCATCAGTGACAGTTTACTACACAACCAGTTGTGTGTTCGTCTCATCGGTTTCTTTTCACATGTCTTCCTACAGCAGTGTCCCCATGGATAGAATCTTCCGCCGGGATTCGGACCTAACTTGTTTGCAGAAAGTAAGCTGCCTTCAGTTTTAATTGCTTTCATTACTCAGATTCCAAAGCTGGTGTTCTTGGTGTGTTTTTCACCGTTCAGTGGATACATTTTCTGTTTCCTTTATTGATTTACTTTGTAAAATTAATGTGTTTTATTGGCTGAGCTTATACATAGAAATAATACTATTTTAGAATGCATTTGTCATTGTTGACTGATACATTTCTTAGTGGGGTTACTATTGTGTACAATGAAGAACCTTTGATCTTTCTTTAAAATTCGTAAGTACCATGTTTCCCATTTAACCATAACACCTGGCCATTTTTAAAAAATACAGTATAAATCTAATTTAAGTAATCATTTTGCTCTAACTTTGTCCTTGGAAAATAAGGATTAGGTTCCCCACCCACTCTACCCCCCAAGCAGCCCACCCCCCATGTACACACATACACATATTCCTGGTAAGATGAATAGATTGTCAACACTCTAGTTTTGTTTTAGCCATTTGGGGATATTCTGAAAAAGTAAATATATTAAGTTCTTTTTGCTACATTTTCCTATATACTGTTAAAGACCAATGTGTGCATCTCCAATAAAACTGGTGAAGAACTATATACTTAGTTCTTTTTTCGTTCCCTTTCTCTGTCTCTTTTCTCTGCTTGGTTTTGGTGCTGGGGCTCAATTCTGAGCTGTGCATGTGGTCACCAGACACTGTGCTTCATCCCTAGACCCACAGTCTTATGTGCTTCCTTGTTCTTGCTGTTTCTGAGTCTTTAGAGATGGCTCTGTAAATGTAACTGTTCAAGGGGTAAAATTCCTAGATTTGTCTCAAGTAGAGAGCATTGCTTGCACATGTTTGTGTCCTGTGGAGTTGTAAGGGACTAAACTTAACCTTCAGCAGTGACTCCAGTGTTCCAGGCTGAGATTGTTGAGAACAGTGTCTCTCCTTTGAGAATTAAGAAATCTGAGGTTTGAGACGAAATTGTGACAGTTATGCAAGCCCTCTTAATACTTAAGTATTTAAATATAAAACTTTTCCTTTCAACTAGCTTTTGGAGTGTCTAAGGAAAACACTAAGCAAAGTAGCCAACTGCTTCGTCGCTGAGGAATTCTTGACTCAAATAGAAAATTTGTTCCTTTCCAATTACAAAAGCAAGGAAGAAAATGGACCGGCTGAAGAGAACAGCACAAAGGAGTTGTTCTTGTAATTATTTAAAAGTAAGACGTTCTGTTTTAATCTTGGCATACTACTGTAAATAACTGAGATTTTTTTTAAGCAATATAACTTTTTTCTTTTAATACATAAAATTCTAAACTTTCCCACATACATAATGGAAAAGGAAGAAAGATAGACTTGTTCTCATAGAGTGGTAATCAAGAGTTCTTGTCTGTGTTAAGCAATGTAATAGACTATGAAAGCTTGAGCAGTGATCGGCTTTACTGTGTATCCAGCGTGATCAGTAGACTGTGTCTATGTTTTCCTTCTTCTTTGAAATATTTTCTTTGTCATTTTGGCATCTTATCTCATTAGAAATACTTATTTTCTTCCCATGTGCTTTGGTGGTGAGATTTGTGTTTGTTTTTTGGATGTCGCAGCTTCCGTGTAGTGTGAGTTAATGTGGTTGAGAACTTCTGACTACTAGATCTAACAGCATGCTGTAGAGTGCCAACACAGGCACAAGGAGAGGATCTTAAACATTCAGACAAGAAAACAAAGGGGAGAAGAACCAGTTTTCAGTCCTGTTATTTGCTTTAGTTTTAGTGTGTAGCTCTGTACAGATAGTCAGCCTTCTCAGTGATTTCAACATTTTAGATGATTGCACAAGTGAAATCAGTAGCGCCAACTCTAATTACAGTAGTGTGATAAAATGTCATTGACCTGGACTTGGCAATGTAACCCTCCGCCTAGCTTTTTCCCTGCTGTCAAGAGAAAGAAACAAATCACAATAAAGCTTAAATCAGATGTTGGAGTTTTAGAAACAAAGAGATGCCATCTAGCATTTTACATATTTAAGCCAGTTTCGTACTTCCTGAATAAGAAATGGAGGCTAGTACACTTTCATGGAGAGGACCAGCTAGTGTATTTCCGTTAGCTGGAGAACTGCTGTTTGCCCACCGTCCTGGCCTTCTTAATGGTGACGGTTTTGTTACCTTGAAACTGAGTTGAGTAAGACTTTTCCTTCTTTGTTGTTGTTGCAGTTGTAGCAGAGAAGAGGGCAGCACTGGATGGAGTGGCCTCACAGTCTTAGGTGGCCTGAAACTGATTGGGGCTGTGTGGGCCTCCCACTGTTATTCCAGCTCTGATTTTATCTTTTTTTTTTTTTTTTTTAGGTTGCTGCTTCTTTGGAACTTCATTTTAAGATTGTACAGTTCCAAAATTAATGTGTATTTTTTAAAGAAAACTAGTAGTTTTTCCATTTCCCTGTGTACATTTAATATGAACAATGAAACATACTTTGTAAAATCATCTTGATGTCTGGAAATATACAAACTCCCAAAGCAAAAAATCAGGAATCCTGAGCTCTCAACGTAATTTGAGCCAGCTTTGGTATGTGACCTGGTCACAGTCACATGTCTGAAATCCAGGTGTCTCCGTTGAAATTGAGAGAGCTGAATTTTATGACTTGGTGTCTCTTCAAGCCCAGAAGGTGACAAAAGTCGGCAGCCCCTCACTCTTTCGTGCTTCCCTTCCTCCTTACCTGCTTTTTCATAGGCTGTTGGAACGGACCTAGGAGCAGATGTTGATTAACTTTCTTGATTGGTGTTGCCCTAGAATGTTGTTGAGTTGTTAGAAGTTCTTTGTCAAATCTGGGTTTTTCCACATGCCTGTGGTTAATCATAGGTACTCCCCTGAGCTACATTATAAGGACTTAAAAGATGGCCATTGACAGAGTGTAGGGCCCTGAGAACACAAAGTTTTAAGCAACTATTGAGGGTCTATTTTTCTGTCTATAGAATACATTTATAATTTATCTTATGAAATACTTTTAAATACAAAGAAGTATATACAAAGCACAGATATCTCAAACCTACTGTTAAGAAAGTACTTCACACAGGAATTAAATTCTTTACCAGTTGTGGTTTTGGTTGTTTGTTTTTAGGTTTTTTTTGGAGGGTTGGGGGTGGTTTTTCAAGACAGTGTTTGTATAGCCTTGGCTGTCCTGGAACTCACAGAGGCTGGCCTTGAACTCACAGAGATCCACCTGCCTCTGCCTCCCTAGTGCTGGGATTAAAGGTGTGTGCTACCACCGCCCGGCTTTCCTGACCAGTGTTAACAGCATGAATTTAGAACATTCTGATTTATCATGTGTCTCCTGTTGTTTCCTGTCTGTTCTCCATGTGGCTTTCTTTTCTCTTGTCATAGTGTCTACATGCTTTGGCAACTGCAGATGACTCCTATGCTGACCTTGCCAACCTTGACCTCCTGAGAATAGTTAGAGCCAAGGCTTTAAAGAAGCACAGATGAGTCTGGAACCAAGGGGGCATGTAACACAGAAGTTGATGAAGCAGGCTCCTAAAGAAAAGCCCTTTAGGAAACAGTGTGGGTAGAAGTGGAGGACCGGAGACACCTGAGACCCTTCATCCCAAGTTCTGTCTTTTTGGAGAATACAACTGTAAAATAATGATTTTAATTTGTTTCCTGTTCTGATTTTATAAGGAAATTTAATAATGGTACTTCTCCTATATTAGACTTAGTGTTCTTCAAAAATAATACTCAAGAAAGCAAAATCAGGCCATCATTTAACCTTGAACCGTTCTTCTCCAGTCCTTTTAAATGGCCTGGAGCTCCCATTTCTAGAGTTGGTTTGACCCCGTGCTCACAGCTCATGAGCACTTTTGCACACTTAGACCCCTTCCATAAAAAACTTAAATTTATATTTTATAATTGTGTCTGTGTAAAATGACAGTATTCATATTTTGGATTAAAATATTCCTTTAATCTAAAACTTGGATTATTTTTACTAATAAAATTAAGTGAAATGTTTGTTACATGCTCTGGGAGTCTGAGACACTGTGCCTTATGCATGGTTTGCCCTGTCTGTATTCAGAAGGTGCTGGAAAAATGCAATTAGTGTTCTCTGTCCTCTTCCCACTGCCTCTAGGTTATCTGTTGTCACTCAGCCCAGTAGCACTGCAGTTTCCACTCTCATGGGCCTATCCATCTGAACTGCGTTCTTTCCCATCCTAGCCAGAACTCAGCGTATTGCTTAGCACCGTTCATTCTTGGGAGAGAGGGCTAGAGACTGGGGGAGTGAGGGTGGGGAGACAGTAGTTAGACGTCAGTAGATAGATGGACGTTTTTTATTCTGGTTCCTACTTTTGACAGTTTGTGCCCTGCCTCACAAGGTGAGGTCCCTTTCTTTCTTCCCTTTCATCTCAGGCCCTTTTATTCATCCATCCTCATAGCTCATAGGTATAAGATCTTTATATCATTTGCTGGAAGTGATAAACAGACCCAGTCAGATTTCCCTGCAGTTGTTTAGTACTGGTTCAGGCTTCTCCCCAGAATGTTCCTCCTTCCAGGCTGAGGAGTAAGTGAAGTCTGTGACAGGCAGACTGCAAGCACATTCAGCCTCTTCAGTTTTCAGAACAAAGAAAATGTCAGCCTCAGCATGCCAGTCCAAGCTGTCATGCTTTTTAGATTTTATGCTTTTTACCGTATATATTGCTGTGTTTGAGTGCAATGGAGAAGCTGATAGAACCAGTATGCCCAAGAGTGCTGCTCTGTCCTGTGCCAGCAAAAGCCACCTAATTGACCTCCTGCTTGTCCCACACACTTGTATGTCATCAGCAGACATCTCATGTGAGTTTCTTATCAGTAGTAGAGCTGGTCAACCAAATTTTCTTTTTTCTTCTCTCACCTCTACCACCAGGAGACTTAATCTGGTGCCACATGGTATGGCATGAAGAAAGAGTACTTTCACAGAAGCACAAAGAAAAGCACATGTTTTGATAAACATGTCCTCTTATCAGCATTAACAAATTTAACAAAGAAATTTGATCTGCATCTCCACTTTCCTATTCTTTAATAATGCTCTTATGACTTCATATATTTTGTAATATGCCCAGAAAAAAAATCACAGGAGAATAATGTACTGTATTTAGGTTATTATTTCCTGACCTTTTCTCAAATGGTTTTATTCATGCTTTCATTTCCTGAAATTTTGCTTTCTGGTATTTCTTCTAAGCTACCTCATTCCCTTAGTGCCCCCACTAGATCACAAAAAAATAAAAGCATTCAATTAAAGGGTTCTCAAGGAAACTAAACTTTAAAGGTGAAATTAAATCCCAGCACCTGGGCGACTTTTATTCCCCTCCTTTGGTGTTTCTGTCATAACTCATGAGTCCCAGGGAAAATGCCTGGTTTGTTTTCTCTGAGATTTCCTAGTAGCTTTCCAGGAATTCATTAAGTGTTCTCACAGTTCATGTTCCTGTTTCATATGTTATAGAATTGAGCCTGTGTGGTGGCACACACCTTTAATTCCAGAACTCAGAAGTAGAGGCAAATGGATCTCTGAGTTTGAGGCCAGCCTCGTCTACATAATGAGTTCTGGGAACAGGACTGAATAGTAAGACCCTATCTTTAAAAAAAAAACAAAACAAAGAAAAAATTGTCTGCTTTAGCATATGGATTCTAAAATTGTGGTTAGATTTTAGCATGGTTTATGCAGATGAGTCATTTGCCTTTAAATGTGTAGAGTGGAGTTGACTTGCAGAGTTACGTTATATATAAGATACTGCATGACAGTTTATAAACTTGTCACTCTTTTCCTACAATATTAGCAGTTTTTGTGAATTTTTTCACTAGTTTGCATTTTACAGTGTCCTACAATATAATGATTTAAAACTATTTGTACATTTAAATGTTATGCTACATTGTATATACCTACATTAAGAATATTGTAAATATCAGTGTTTGTAGAATTATGAAAGATTTTCCCCAAAATGTGAACTCATCTTTCTATACTTACTTGTGACATATTAAAAATAACCTAATTTTAAGCTTTGATTAAGATATTATCTCACAATGAAAGCTAAGGAGAAACATGCTACCACATTGATGTAAATAAAAATTTGAAAATAAAACAGGTGTCTTTTGTAAACTCTTGTGTCTTTGTAAACTATTAGCAATATATGTATTGAATTACAAAAAGAAGGCACTGTCTTAGTTACCTTCATTGCTGTGACAAAAACCATAACAAAGGCAACTTACAAAAGGAAGCATTTAATTTAGGGTTCGCGCTTCTAGAAGGTTCTAGAGGGTTCGTGACCATCATGTCAGGGAGTATAGCAGCAGGCATGGCATTGGAGCAGGAGCTGAGAGCTTACATTATCTTATCCCCAAACAGAAGGCAGAGAGAGAGAGGGGAATGGCATGGGCTCTGGAAACCTTAAAGCCTGTTCCTCGGTATCACCTCCTCCCACAAAGTTTCACCTAGTCCTTCCCAAACAGTTCCACCAATGGACACCATGTATTCAAATGTATGAGCCTGTGGGGGCCTTTCACGAACATTCAAACCCCACAGCCACATTAATTCAGCCAGGGTTTGTTGAGCATTTCTTACACAGTCAGAGACAAAGATTAGTAAATCTTACCTTCTTTCTACAAGAACCCTATCACCTTATTGGTGGGAAATACAAAACAAGCTACAATTGACTATAAAATACCTATAGACAGTTTCCAAGTAGAGAATAGTGGCAAGAAGTCTCTGGACCAGGAATGTGAGATCAGTGCCTTTGGAAGAAATGTCTGACAGGATTTGATTATGTGATGTTTAGGAAAAGATGGTGCAGTTAGAAGTGACCTCAGCACAGCTGTGGAGGTAAGAAAACTTGAAAATATTTTGATCAAAGAGTAGGGTATGTGAAGATGGCAATTATGAAAAATACAACTAGCCCACTTAATTTTAAGTTACAGAAAATAATAAAGTAGAAACCAGTGAAGTAGTAGGTAAAGGCATCTGATGATGACCCGAGTTCTGTTCCCAAGAGCCATGTGGTGGAAGGAACCAACTCCTGCTGGTTGCCCTCTGACCTCCACACATACCCCATGTCAAATGCTCACACACACACACACACACACACACACACACACACACACACACAAAAATATTTTTTAAAAATTTAAGGAAGTAGAAAGTAAAAATTTCATCTTAAAAATTATGTAAATATTGGTTTAACTGGTTTTGAACTTTGTTTTTCCCCCCTAGCATGTAAGAAATTACACATTTTATGTAAGGCTTTAATTTCTATACTATCCTCATTAAAAACACTAGCTTAGGGATGCAGCTAGCTCAGTAGCTTTCCAGGTGAGTGAGATGTTGTAAGATCTGCCCATTCTTTCTGTAGGAGCTTGGCATTCCATGCTGTGGTCTGTCCGCTGGATCTGGTAGTATACAGTGGAGCATCAGACTGTCCCTCATGTCTGCTACAGGTGTGTTTCTGATACAGGTGAACTACTATGGCTACTTACCAGAGAGATTGCCAAGACCTTCATCCCTTTTAATTTTTTTGATATCTTGGAGAAATTTTTATTTTTTTATAGTAATTTAAAGTCAAGTACTCAAGAAAAGTAATGATTTATTTACAAGATATAATGAAATCCTGAGTTTTAATTCCATAAAGCATTTATTTCATTGGAAGTTCATTCCTCCATATAGTAGTTAGGGATTCTTATTAATTAAGCATTTACTTTAACTTTCTGATTTTGGCCATGACTTTGGAGGCCAGCATTGTCTCAGTTCTATTTGTGTTTGAATGGTTTTCTGCATCACTGAACCTCAAGTTTATCTTCCCACAGAATGCTAATTTAAACACAGGCTTACACCAGGTACACATTTGTTCAGAATCTTGCATTTTCAGAATGATGTACTCAAATAGAATGCTTGGTTACCATAAGTTTGCCTATTACTCTACAAGGCATATTAGGGCGCAAAGGATTTAGTGAATATGTAAATAAGTAAAGTCAAAATCTGAAACAATTCCGTCCCAGTTCAGATGATGAGACTGGTTCTAATAGTGTATAGCTTCTCATTTTTGAGGTGGTTTAAAATATTATCATTATTTGCTTTGACTTCTGAATTGTAGGGAAGATCCAGTTCTATAGTAAGGTCATAAATATATATTCTAATATTTCTTTAAAAAGGTATTGTGTATAGTTCTTAAACTTTGCATATGTGTATACAGTGGTATGTGTGTGTGTGTGTGTGTGTTCAGATGTCCATGCAAATTATGTTTGTAGGCAAGAGGTTGAAGTTGGTAGTCTTCCTGGATTCTTCTCTCACTGATTGCCAAGACTGGCTGCCCAGTGAGTCTCCACAGGGCTAGGGTTACAGGTGTGCTAAATCATGCCCAGCTTTTTTGAGTGAGTGCTGAAGATCTAACCTCAGTTATTTATGATTTCCTAACAGATACTGTTAGGAAATTTTGTCTAAAATTTTAAAAAAATGATTATAACTAATACAAGAAAAACTATCCAATAAGTATATACAATATATCCAGTCAAGAATTACATTAACGAGTCCATTAACAATTGACAGATTCAGATAAAAATTCCATTATTTTTATTAACAATGTCCAGTCCAGTAACATTTGATAAACTCAGACAAAAAAATTTCATTATTTATCCTATTTAAAACAAGAAGTTCCTTTTTAAAAGTATATTGAATAATTGACCTTTTTTTATCTTATATCCATATTCTCTTTTTTCTTTTTATAATAGATTCAATAATCTACCTTTTGTCATTTTTATATCTTCCCCTTTTTCTTTTTAGAGTAGATTCAATTATCTACCCATTTATCTTATTATTTATCTTTTTTTCTCAGAGTAGACTCAATGATCTACCCCATATCTATATTTTCTTTTTCCTTTTTCTTTTTCTTTTTTTTTTAAACAAAACCTCTGAATCTAATCTTGTTCAGCTTTTTTTCTGACCATTAACAATCAATAACTGTAACCAACCATTGTAAACAATGACAATATCTATAACTTACTAAATGACCCAAAAACACCCACCCCACCTCTTGGGAATATGGGCATAGTTTTCTTAAAATTACTTCCTGCTTTCTGGAGGTGAAGACATCTTTAGGGGATCCTGAAAAGAAAATTTTTGGGTTAATTGTCAAGTCCTGTATCATTTGTCCAGTCTCTGCAGAATGGGAAAATTCAGGGCTTGTCACAAGTCCTTGTTCGAGTAGTCTGTCAGGCTGGATCATCTGAGCTAGTCATCTCGAAATTGTCCTGACCAGTTTTTAGTCCAAAGTGGATCTTTCCGTGGTGTTAATCAGCTTAATGGTTTTATCACAGTCCATGTGGAATCATCATTGTGGGATCCTGTCATATTTTTTGAAAATTTCAAAGTCACTGTTAGGCATGGTCATGGTTCCCCGCAGACTTTTTTTTTTTTTTTTGGCTTCCTCTGTGGTTTGGAGCAATCACAGTCTGATAAATGTCTATCTCTCGGAACCAAGAGAAAATCTTCACAGCAATTTCTCCCCACCATTTGTCTTGCCAAACTTTTCCAAACTGACCTTTGCAATGCTTTCTTGTAACACAATGGTCCAGGTAATTCACTGAACAAGCAGCGGTAAACCCTTCATCCCAAGTAGCAGCATCACCACAGTCACCAACATGATGAGAAGCAGCCAGAAACTCAGAGCAGCAGCCGCTGCCTCCATGGTCCCACTGCCACCCTTTGTGTCTGGGCCCGGGCCATAGCTTCTCCTTAGCAAGCCTCCTATGCTGGCCTCAAACTCGGGATCCTCCTGCCTCTGCCTCTTTCATTAAATCCAACCAGTGTGCCACCACAACCGGCAAAGTGTAGCTCGGGCCTGAGCTGGGTTCCACAAGGCTACAGACAAGCGGCTTTTTCGTGAATTCGTACCACGAACGTTGGGCGCCAGCTGTAGCAGGAATCTTAGAAGGTCTTATTAATAAAATCAAACCTGAGGCCAGTTATTGGGGTGAATGCTGGAAGATCAGAGAAGCAGAACAAGCCATAGCTACCTCACCTTGCCAATTCCTCAGCTGATCCTGTTTTCCTCAGACTGGAAGCCTCTGAGTCCTCATCCAGAATGAATCTTAGCTGAACTGCTGCTCGAAAGCCTGAAAGCTTAACCAGCCAAATGCTTCTAGTTTCTGGTCTTCACGCCTTATATATCTTTCTGCTTCTGCCATCACTCCCTGGGATTAAAGGCTCACTTTCTGGGATTAAAGGTGTGAGCCACCATGCTTGGCTGTATCCTATGTGGCCTTGAACTCACAGAGATCCAGAGGGATTTCTGCCTCTGAAATGCTAGGATTAAAGGCGTGTGCTACCACTGCCTATCCTGTATGTTTAATATTGTGGTTGTTCTGTGACCCCAGATAAGTTTATTAGTGTGCACAATATTTTGGGGAACACAATACCACCACAAGATACTGTACTAAGCCATCTCTCCAGCCCCTTGTGTATAATTTTTTGCCCCATGTGTAGCAAATTGTATTGTATTATTTATTGAATAAGCCTTTTCTTACTGATTTTTAATGATTTTTGTCTGATATATCCCATCTCTGCCTGGATGTCTGGGGCTCACTTTTATTCTATTTATCTGACTACATTTTTGACAACTCTTAACATCTTAACTTTCTGACTGGAACCCACAGGAGGAGGGCTCCAGAACTGTGAAGTGTTGAGGGGGAAGACAGGAGATGAGAATAAAGACATGAAGGTCTTGAATGAGCTGATGTCTTATGCCATGCAAGTGGATTAAGAAATACAGCATCTTATATAGCATTTACAGGGGGAGGATTTTAACCACCACATTCCACTCCCTGGCCCCCATAGGCGTGTAGCCATATCATAATGCAAAATTCATTCAATCCAACTTCAAAAGTCCTCATAGTCTAGCAGTTTCAACCCTATTTAAAAGTCCAAAATCTCTTTGGAGATTCGTGGCAATCTCTTAACTGTAACCCACTGTAAAATCAAAACAAAAAAGCATATCACATATTCCCAACATATGATGGCACAAGATACACATTACCACTCTGAAAGGGAAGAAAGGGAGCATAGTGAGGAAGTACTGGGCCAAAGCAAGGCTACAAACCAGCTCAGCAACCTCC